GTCTTTAATGTATTAGTCTGGCCATTCTAAGGATGTTACATAGTTCTGCGTGCGTTTACACTAGCTGTCGTGACATATATTTACATAATCAATTTTATTCATTATAATTCAAGGTGCCTTCCTGACAACCCAGGCAGAAAGTCCATTGATTTTAATTTATAAGCCCTATATTTAACCCTGTAACTTTCCATAACACCATAAAAACTGTACATGTGGGGTACTGTTGTACTTGTGAAACTTCGCTAAACACAAATATGAGTGTTTTAAAACACTAATATTTGTAATAATGATGATATCATCAGTGAAAGTGCAGTTTTTGTGTGAAAAATGCAAAACAAAAATATGAAAACTAACTTTGGCTAGCATTTGTGACTAAGTGGCTACTACAAAAAACTGGACTTACCCAATTCTGGATACCCTGGGTTGTCTACATTTGTAAATCATGGGTGTAATTCTCATTACTTGGCTGCCATATGGTCTCAAAGGCAACATAGGCTCGGCAAACCAATATATATTCTTTTTTTTTTTTTTTACTGCTCCTGCTGTTTTTCCTTCTCTAAGTTACCTTTTCTCACTTGATCTGTGAACTATATAGTGGGATAATGCTCCTATTACTGCAAAACATATACCTTACATATTATATAATGTATATATTTTGCAGCACACTGATTGGCCCATTTTCACAAACTTTTCTATTTCTCTGATTCGGATACTGAATCGAAATCTGTGTTCCAAAATTTTGCCGACATTCTACAGAAATTTGTCTATCCCGTTAAATTTTCTTTAAAATGTAATTGTGCTAAGCTAGTCTGTATAGCTCTCTACACTCCCTCACAGTGCTGCGGCATGGATCTTGCATGTAGGAATCAGGATAGAACACTATCCCCACCTGTCGATCTACAGAAAACTATTGAACAGCCCTCCCGGGGTTGGAAATCTGCAGTTTTACTAGTGCTTGGGTCAGAATCATAAATTTAAAAAAATAAAAATAAAGATGCCAAAACTAGTTGGGGATGTCTCTTATTGCACCAGCTTGCTCATGCTCCTCAATGGTAAAGGAAAGCAAGGAAAATAATCCTGTCATTCTTTTTTGTTTTGCTTTCAGTTTATCTTACCCCATACCTCTCGTATCTTGATGATTATACTCCCCTCCCCCTTGCCTTTATTTTTTTTTCCTTGGCAAAATCTCAATTTCTAGGTGCAGTTTCCCTTTTGTGAGATTGTGTGTTTTTGTTTTGTTTTTTTAACATTCTTTAGTTGTCGATTTTTTATTTAACAATTATTACTCTAGAGAAGTAGTCTGCATATTTATCAAACATCAAGAACATATCATGTAGACATGCATGCAGAGAACGTCAATTTGTTTACAGAATATTTGTACTATTCAATGTGCTTTGTTCAGTTTACTTAGATCTGAGGTCCCGTTTTCGTAAGTTCTATGTCTTCAGCATGAGTTGGGACTTATAGATGTACTTTCTGATATTTCTTTTCCGGAAAGTTGGAAGATTACTTTCAGGAAGGAGAAGGTGCTGTGAGATTGTTTTAACTGATCAAGTATGGGTAAATTAGTTTAACCACCTGAAACTTAACATTGCATAAGCTTTACCCATTGTCAAAGACTGGTAAAGATCACACTCCTTTTAAAGGAACACTGGCATTTTTAATATCTTAACAATCTTTGTTATAATATACAATTTCTTAAAGGATCACTATAGGGTCAGGAACACAAACATGTATTCCTGACCCTATAGTGTTAAACCCACCATCTAGTCCCCCTGGGCCACTCATGCCTCTATAAATATAGTAAAATCTTACAGTATTCAAGACTAAAGCTGTAGATCTGCATTCTGTTTGCCTCAGAAAAAACAAGCAGTCTGATGACATCATTAGAAGTGGTAGCCTGATCCAATCACAATGCTTCCCCATAGGATTGGCTGAGACTGACAACGAGGCAGATCAGGGGCAGAGCCAGCATGATTCAAACACAGCCCTGGCCAATCAGCATCTCCTCATAGAGATGAATTGAATCAATTAATTTCTATGAGGAAAGTTCAGTGTCTGCATGCAGAGGGGGCCATGACCCAGGAAGGATCTCTAACAGCCATCTGAGGAGTGGCCAGTGAAGTTATCATTAGGCTGTAATGTAAACACTGCATTTTCTCTGAAAAGACAGTGTTTACAGCAAAAAGCCTGAAGGTAATGATTCTACTAACCAGAACAAATTCAAAAAGCTGTAGTTGTTCTTGTGACTACAGTTTCCCTTTAATTTTGCAATTCATGTATACTGAAATTTTTGAAGATATTACTTGCTTTTGTTCCCATTTTGCGACAGCCATCTTTTTGCACCATGGGTAAGACCATCAGCTATCCAATAAATAAAATCAAAATAATGGTGCTTGCTTATTTATTTTTTTAAAAAATCAATAGTAGAAGCAACAGCTGAATACACACACCACAATACTATATACCTCCATTGAATGGAATACAATAATGTAAGTGGATTTGAAGCTTCTTGAGTATTGTTTCTTGCACTAGATAATTTGATGCACTTTAAATACAATTGCATTTGCACAGCTGATTTATTGCACTTTATCAAGTAGATACAAAATACAGTAATAGATGTTTGCATTATTATTCCTTGCACGTTTAACATACAGTACACTTTATTTGCTTGGCACATTAAAGGTATAGTGCACTTTATTTATATTTGTACCTTACACTGCAGATGTGTATAAGTGTAGAATACTAAGGAGTGATTAAAGACCCAGTGCACCTTGATTTTGGTACATCCATTATCCAAGCCAATGCTCACTATTTTACCTGAAAATATGCTAATTTATTCTAAATTAAAAAAAAATCACATCCTTTTCAAGAAACAATTTGCATCCAATTTGGCTTGAAGCTGGTAATGTTTTTTTTAATTTATAACTGGCATTTATAAAGGAGGAGATTAAGTTGCTCAGTTTCAGATGTAATTGCAGATCACTTTCTATAGAGAAAATTATGGAAGCTTTTTGTACTATGGGGAAAGGATGTCTAATTGGCATTGTACCTGAAGATTAACACTGATAGTGCCAGAGACTATGGGCACCATCAGGCACTTAGTTTAGTAGAAGATGTGCTATATTGTAGGTAAAGTTGTCTATCAATGAATAGGGCTTCAACATTATAGCATTAATCTGACCTCTAGTGGTATTGTCTAAGATTGTTCTCTTTACACAATTTATTTATAGCTGGCAAATGGATAGAATGAATCAATGAAGAGTGTTGATGAAATAGTCAGAAGTTTCACAAACCAGCTATTGTGCAAAGTGGTAAGATCGCAGTGTTCCATCCAAAGGCCAGTTAAAAGTGATATAATCCTACACAGATGGCTCTGGAGATATACAAATGTTTCTTTGAAGAAGTTAAACTCACAAGACCTGCGAATTGCAGAATTAAAATACAGTATGCTGCTCTGGCATAGATATATTGATGATGTGATTATGATTTGGAATGGTACTCACAATGATCTTCAGGAGTTTTTAGTATATATTAATACCAATTATCTGGGCCTTAAATTTGTTCCAGAGTTCGACAGTAATACTATCAATTTCTTTGCCATAGAACCTTCTTCAAGCCTACAGATAGGAATATCTATATTGATTATACCAGCTGTCACCACCGGCCAGTGGCGGATCCAGGGGGGGAGGGGGGGCAATGGAGCAATTTTCTCCCCCCCCCCCCGAGATTCTCCCCTGCCGGCTAATGCAGGGCTGGCATTGTCCAAGTGCCAGCCTTGCAATGTGCCTGCAGACCGGGGAGGGAGATCTCGATCCACAGGCACATTGCTGGCAGCCGGCAGGGGAGGGAGGGAGAGAGGACCCAGGAGCTCAGCCTTCAGCTCCTCCGGGTCCTCCACTCGCGAGCACAGAGCGTTGCTGCAGTTACCACAGCAACGCTCCAAATCTCCACCAGGGATGGAAAAATGTCCCCCCTCCTCCCTCAGTAAAGGTAAGAAGGGAGGAGGGACATAGATATATTTATTTTATTAAATACATTTTTTTTTTATTATTAAAAAAAAAAAAGCCTCCCTACCCTCCTTCACCCCCATAAACACACTGCCCCACAAACACTGCACCCCATACACACACCACCCCCCATACACACTGCACACCCATAGACACATTTCCCCCTACACACATTGCCCCACACACACACTGCTCCACACATACACACATTGCCCCTCACACACACACAACTCCCCCATACACACATACAGTGCTCCCCATACACACATTGCCCCCACACACATACAGTGCCCCCCATGCACACACTGCCCCACACACACATACAGTGCCCCTATACACACATACACTGCAAGCCTCACACACACACTGCAACTCTCACATACACACTGCACCGCTCACACACACACTGCAGCTCTCTCACACATTCACTGCAACCCTGACATACACTGACGCCCTCACGCACACACTTCACCGCTCACACACACACACTTCACCCCTAACACATACCACTGCTCCTATGCCCTATATCCCAGCAGACCCCAGGTAAGTTGTCAAACTGTTCTTAAATGGTTTGACGAATTACTCTGGGGTGGGATCCTGGCACTATTGGAACCATAACTACTACACTGATCTGTAGTGGTTATTGTGCCTGGAGTATTTCATTAAATAATGCACAAGTGCCCCTCCCGAGATCAGGCTCTGGATCCGCCACTGCCAGTGGCTGACTAACATTCCTAAAGGCCAATATATGCGTATTAGTAGAAACTGCACTGATGACGAAGATTTTGATCAGCAAGGGGAGTTTTTAGAAAGAAGGTCATTGGACAGACACTATCCCAGAGGTCTTCTAAGAGATACTAATTTTTCTGTATACAATCAAAGAGATAATCTTAACTCAGAAGTACCCAGATCTAGTAGAAATACACAACATGATTTTGGCTTAGCTTTTTTTTTAATATATTTATTTTATTTCTTCATGTTATAACATTACACATATCAAAAATCAACATAGCTTCTTTATACAAAAGAACATAGTACTATTATATAACATTAAAAATCTAGAACATCCACACGTATTATAGTATTCAATAAGATAAATAAGAATCGACTATGTATGAATAATATATCTTTCAGCCATACTTTATATTTACTTTGATGGTCATATATTGTTGCGAGACTAATATAAAGTTCTTCCACACGTAGCTGTCCCATTTGAGTACAGGAACAATATTCCAACGTTTCTTCAGCTCTATAGTTGTTACAATTCCATACATAATCGCTATTCCAATAAAACAAACTAAAAAAAGTTAATTACCAACAGACAAACAAAAAATAAAAAATAAAAATACAAAAACTAAATGTTAAATCTCTGAGACTCGACACAGGGGTACAAACAACACAATCCTTGTTAACCTATAGTGTATCTGTTTGTCCAGGGTAACCATGATTTGACCGAGTTCCTGTTACTGAAAAAGGGATTAGATTCCATCCTATATTGATATTCTATTTGTTCCATAATATTATGCCAAGATAAAGGGATGGAGGATTTCCATGCCCTAGCTATGCAGATTTTAATTGCAAAAAAGATATGGGTCAGAAGATATTTTTGGTAATTATCTTGTGAGGGAAAACCAATATTAAAAAGAAAAAGTTGGGTACTGATTTCTTTTATTTCCTTAAAAATAGAATTAACAAGACCAATCATTTGATTCTTAACATTATTAAGCCCCTGACATTCCCACCATATGTGATACATAGTGCCCTCCTCAATTCCACATCTCCAACAGATCCTAAAGTAGGCAGATGATATTTTGTAAAGTTTAACCGGTACCATATACCATCTATATATTATTTTTAAGTGAGTTTCGTAGAGAGACACACTATGTAGACAACGTTTTACTAGGAGTGTAGTTTTGGTCCATTCCACAAGTGGAAAGGATTCCCCAATATCGTGTTCCCATTTAATAAAGGAGGAAGCATGGGAGTCTTGTACCATTGAATCTAGTAGTTTAGTAAATCTAGAAATCCCTCCCTTCTTTTTATATAGCTCTATAAGGTGGTTAACATTATATTCCATAAGTACAGTTCTAGATAGAAAATTTTTAATCCTTAAATGTTGGAAAAGATCTCTGGAGGGAAGATTAAATTTAACTTGCAGTTGTGTAAATGGAATGGGTTTAGACCCAACCCATAAATCAGAAATCTTCAGTATGCCCAGATGTATTCAGGGTTGGACATTTATTTAATCCAAACGTGATTTAAAACCACCAATGGAACATAATATAGTAATTTGGCCTCCTGTTTTAATTTTCTGTTTAGGATTTTAGCGGTATTAATCATATCTATTATTATTTTATTAGAAAAATACTTGATTTCTATTTCTCCTAATTTCAGGATACCCAACCAAAATAGAACAGGCAATTTATGTCTGGTAAAAAGAAAAGGGGAAGAGTCTGCGCTAACTCAGTGAAGCAGCAACCCTAATAAAGGAATCCCTCACGAACCCTTATTAGAAACAGAGAAATGCAAAAAAGGGAATTAAGGGCTGCGCTTGGATAAAAGGATAAAAGATGAGTAAAAATGTATATAAATAAAATAAACGATAATGGTAAAATCAAGTAAAGTTCATTCAAATAGATAAAAGTATAGTTTGAAAACAGTCTCACTGATGTGCAGTAGTATAATAATAGTCCTCAAGTGTTGCTCCGTCCGTATGGTAGGTAGTCCATATATGTGAAGACAAAAGGAGAAAAAAGCTGCCAATGGTGAAATATTATATGTCCAGATGTGGTATATATTCAAAGGAAAGGTATTTCACTCACATTTGTTGGAGCTCTAACCAGCTCTAGGAGAAGAGGCACTTAGTGGTTTAATCCCCACTATCGGATGTACTTAGATGGTTGATCCGTCTATTCGGCTTGGAATTCCTTTGGTGTAGGCTAGGACCTTTTACCATTTTGAGAAAACCCCAAAGGTGAAATGCGTAAATGGTTTTAATAAGTGTATTTTAATCAATAAAAGTTATTTTTGGTTACCTTTTATACTAGGACCAATTCTATACTTATTTTTATTGCATTTTATACACTTTTCTACTCCTGGCATTTTAATACAATATATTATTTTATAGTTCCATTTTACTTTTTATCCTTCTATTTTTTATTTTTTATTGTTATTTTATCTTCAACTTGAAGTGTATCCCGTCCAAAGAAATCCTTAGGTGGGGATAATTCCACCAGCGCTGTGGCAATAGAGCAGTATCGGTCTGCTCTATTCTTGTAAGTATAACTTATCTTAAGATACTATTGTGTTTTTTCATACTGAAAGCACTATCTACTGTTTTATATATATCCTGTGGAAACCTTTTATACAACATCGGAGAGGCGGACCTATCTCCCCAGCACTAAAGAACAACGCACACCTGAGTAGGTCCTAGCCTACACCAAAGGAATTCCAAGCCGAATAGACGGATCAACCATCTAAGTACATCCGATAGTGGGGATTAAACCACTAAGTGCCTCTTCTCCTAGAGCTGGTTAGAGCTCCAACAAATGTGAGTGAAATACCTTTCCTTTGAATATATACCACATCTGGACATATAATATTTCACCATTGGCAGCTTTTTTCTCAATTTATGTCTGGAGCTATCCTCCTGTTCTAAAGTAAGCCATGATTGGTTTCCCTGGACTGCGTCTAACCATAGTAAGAGATGAGTTGCAATACATGCTTTATGAATTTTATCAACATCTGGAAAAGCTATTCCTCCCTTCTTAAAACGCCTTTGGAGGATATCAAAAGCTATTCTTGATGGTTTATTTGCCCAAATGAATTTGGAAATCAGGCTTGAAATTGATTAAAAATTCCTTTCCCCACTTTATATGGAATCTCCCTAAAATAATATATGAGTTTCGGTAATAGAAATGCTTTGGTCATATTTAACCCTCCTATCCAGGATTTCTCAATCTTCTTCCATTTATCCACCTGTTGCTGCCAATCCTTTAGTAGATTATCATAATTTGTTTGAATCATTTTATGGATATCAAAGGATATTTTAATCCCCAAATAATCAATAGTGTCCCTTGCCCATAAGAAGTGAAAACTTGCAGTCAGAAGATCTTTCTGAGTTTCGGACAAGAAGGAAGCTAAGATTTGTGTTTTTTTCATGTTGACCTTATAATTGGAGAAGCTACTATAGACAGATATAGCATCCATTACCGATGGAATTGAAATCATCGGATCAGTCAAGGTAAAAAGAACATCATCTGCAAAAAGGGAAATCTTGATTTCTCCATGTAAGATTTAATTCACTTTACATTAGTATTTTGTCTAATCAGAGTGGCTAGTGGTTCAATTGTAAGGATATATAGCAGGGGAGCCAAAGGGCAACCCTGTCTTGTACCATTTGTAATCTCAAAGGGGTCAGACTCAAAGAGAGAATTAGATATTTTGGCTGTGGAATTCCTATACAACAGCAAAGTTTTATGTCTGAATTGTCCTTCTAGGCCAAAATGACGCACGGCAGAGTCAAGGAATCTCCAACTGACTCTGTCAAAGGCCTTCTCAGCATCAAGGGCCATAGCAACAGATCACCACTTATGCTAATTTATTCTATGAATTAAATTAAATATCCTTCAAGTATTATCTGTAGTACCTCTCCCTCTCACAAATCCAGACTGATCAACATCAATCAACTCTCCGATAACTTCTTTAAAACGGTTAGACAATATTTGAGAAAATATTTTCATATTTATATTAATATAGATATGGGTCTATAGTTAGCAATAAGTGTTGAATCATTCCCTGGTTTAGGTATGGTAATAATTGATGCCAACAACATCTCATTGGGGAAGGGGGTATCGTCAGATACCCTCTTAAACATCTCTAAAAGGATAGAGGCGATAAATCTAGAAAAAGTTTTATAAAAGATTGCAGGAAAGCCGTCGGGGCCCGGTGCCTTATTTATTTTTAAGTTATCTATTATTTTAGTTACCTCTGATAATAGAAACGGGGCGTTTAATATTTCCAATTTCCTTTGATTAATTTTTGGAAGCTTAAGCTTACTTAAGAAATTATAGATTTCTACATTACTTTTCCCTAGCTCCTCTAGATTATATAAAGATCTATAAAATTCTGCAAATGCATTCACATTTGTCGTTTGGTGAGGTTAAGTGTTTATCCCCTAAAACTATTTTTTTTTTTTTATAAATTTATCTTTAAAATTGTTTTTAATTTTATTAGAGAGGTCTTTATTTATTTTATTATTGTTATGATACCATCTTTGCTTGAGAAATGTTATATTTTTATTGACCATATCGTAAATTCTATCTTTGATGATTTCCCTTAGATTAGCTTTTTCGTCAATTAGATCTTTATTAACCATATTCTTGTTTAAATTTTCTTTTAAGCTCCAGTTTAACCGCACGTCCAAAAATATTGAAAAAGCACTTAAGTGCTGGCTGGTCTTGTTACAGGATGAGATTTTAAAACATGTATTACCAAACACACCTAAGGTTAGTTTTAATAAAGCTAAAAGTTTTAAGTCCTATTTGGCACCTAGTTTTTTACCTCCACTAAATAAACTGAACCCAGGGTGGTTATCCAGACCAATTGGCTTCCACAAATGTGGGCACTGTAAAATGTGTACACATCTTCCCAGGACAGTTAAGCACTTTATGAGTACAAATATGGGTACATTCTTTGAAATTAAGCAGTTTATAAATTGTTTAAGTAGAAACTTCATCTATTTACTCCAGTGCCCCTGTGAGGCACAATATGTGGGCCACACAATTAGGAAATGGAAAGATCGTATTTTGAAGCATATACGAGCTATTGCTAATAAGGACACCAGACATAGTGTTCCCTGACATTGTATAAACTGTAATTTGTACAACCCCAAGGAATTTTTATGTGTTGGGATAGATCTAGTGGATACGGATATCAGGAAAGGCAATATAACACAGAAAGTGTGCCAGCATGAGACCACGTGGATTTATAAACTAAGAACACTTGAAAATACAGGTCTGAATATTGATTTGGATATTATGGCTTTTATTTGATGTACTAATCCCCTTTTTCATTTTTATCCTTTTACCTCCTTCTGGTCTCTTTTCTGCATTTTTTTCTTTGCAATTTTTCCTGTATATTTTATAAATACATATGCCATTGAGATGATTATATATATATATATATATATATATATATATATATTTGCACTGCTATTATATATTGTAAAGAGTTTTTATATTACTGATATATCATCATTATTAGTATTATTGTAAATGTCCTCATGGAGTTTTTATTAAATGATTTGTCACACGGATATGTCTTCTGTATAATACAATCCCCGATGGTATTTATCGAAGGTATGATCCAGGATAACGGACTTGGTTTCAATACTAAGTCCATGTGCAACTTTTAGGTCGCATTGGTGATCCTAGTTAACCAACATTATGGTGTTCTTTTCAAGACATGCTTTATGGTTTATTTTGTCTTACATCCGAGGATAAGATGGTCACCTGGAAGGGAATGTGGGCAAAGTTTCCAGGAATGTTTCTTGGGCACTTTACTCCAATGGAGATTTTTGTCACAGACATGATCTGGTCCATCTTTTTGGATGATTAAAAACCGGAAACATCTGAGATCTATCTTGAACATCATTGGTGGGGTTTAAAAGGTAGGGTTTTTTCAGACAGTCTGTACCTGCCTGGATTGATAACTATTCAAGGAGAACACCCTGCTGACTTTTGGCAATATTTCACCAACCAGGGCGGACTCTAACCGAGACTTATGCTGAGGGACCACTGCTGTATATGGTAGAAGGGTCTTTGGACCTTCTGACGCGCCTGTTTTTATTTTATGTTTGTGAGTGCAATATTATCTCCCTTTTTATTCCATTTGTGCGTGGTTTTATGCTATGCTGTTTTTCTTTATTTTTTATTCAAGTGATTAAATACCTGAAGAGGTTTATCTTTATCCTGAATGCTGTATTTATACTTTCAACAAGAAGTATTTTCTAAAGTATGTATACCAAGTTTTAAATTTAGTGTGATCACACACTATATAAGTTTGTTCATTACGATGCACCACACTCACTTTTTTTTTTGTTTGAAAATACAATATACAAAGAATAAAAAATAAAGCACTGCTAAATTTGGTTGTTGTGGTTAAACAGACAGTTGAAAAATTTTGAAATACTTCATAGTTAATAGGCCAAGTTATCTTCTTTTGCAAATGGTATGATAAGGTACATTTAGAGACTACGATTTTGTCTTAAAGTGGCACGTGAGCAGTAAATCAGCTGGTGAAAAGAAGAAATCCAGAAATGAAATTGGTATGTCTGTAATTTGACGCTTATACGGAGACTTCTAAACGCATTGGCACACTGGGCAGTTGCCTGGGGCCCCACAAGCATAGGGGCCCCATAGGCTTGCTATCTTTTCATTATATTATTCCAGGATATTTATTCAAAACCTTCAGACTCTCTTTATTAAAAAAAATAGGTGGAATAATCACCTCAGTATCAGCTGTTTTTTTTGTACATGAGATCTTGCTGTTGCAAATACATATAACCTGTGGTATATGCAAATTCTTGGCAGTTGCACACAAAATTAGTTTATTGCATATACATATAGTTGATTGTCTTTAGACTGTAAGCTCATTTGAGCAGGGTCCTTTTCAACCAATTGTTCCGGTAAGTTTTCTTGTAATTGACCTATTTATAGTTAAACCCCCACCTTATAAAATTGTAATGCGCTACAGAATCTGTTGGCGTTATATAAATGGCAATAATGCTTTACATTACTTCGTAAAAACTGCCTGACAGTTCGCAATGCAGCTACTCTGGTAGCCGCGATTTTGCAAGCATCAAAGTGCTGACTACAGAGAGATTAGCATAGAAAAATTGGCTGCCTCGGCTGTCAGACCGGGACTACCACAGTAGGAAAGTATAAAGTTATGGGATAAATATTGAAATTAGTGAGTAAAGATTTTAACCAGTTAATGACATTGCGACGCACTATGCCACCTTAATGACATTAAAGCCACAGGGTGGCATACCGGCATTAACTAGTTAAAATCTTCACGCACTCCTAGCAATACTTATCCTATAACTTCCAAAAATGTATTGAAATCCTACAAACACACAAAAAAAGTTATAATTATATATATTTTCTTCAGTTTAACTGGCTGTCTATAAATTATTATTAACCCAAACATTTTTTTCTCATTTTTAATGTTTTATGAGAATTGTTATGCACAACTTCGGGTTTAAAATTTTTGAAATCAGGTTAACTCAGTAAATTTAAGGGCTCCAGCCCCCATAATGATTTAATTGAGAAGTTATGTCATTTATGCAGCTGAAGCTATATGATTGGATTGAGAGGAAATGGTTATGTGTAGGGACAGCCCTATGCTATACTGGGTGCAGTAACTGCTCAAATGCAAGGTTTTTTGCTCTCAGAGTCAACCAAGTCTTATTCTTACAACATCAGTAAAATGTATACCACTGAGTTATATAACCCAGAAACAATAAAATAAAAAAGTATTCTCCGTATTCTCCCTGGAGAATTAGCTTGATGATGATTTAGTGACTTTGGCAAACAGATGAAAACACACAAAACACACATTTGTGAGAGCTTTAATGGTACAAAATGATTACAGCTACAATTTAGGCATTTTCTGGAAACAGTATCATTTTGCAAGGATCTACTTCAATAAATGAATTATCACACTGTATGGTTTAACCCTTTAAGTGCCACTGAGTTGAAGTCTAGCACTTTAAGGGCCAACTCATGTAAAACCTCATAGTCACTAGCATTAAACATGTATATACAAGAACATAAAAAAATGCTACTAGGGAGCAACTTTCAATTGTTCTCTTATCTAGATCACAAAGGAGCATACTGGAGTTTGTCAAACAGCATTGATCAAACCAGTTTATATGCCACAACCCCTATTTCCCTTGGGTACAGCATTATCAATTTCCATTTGAACTGTCACTTATGCTACACAACCAGGCTCCAGTCTACTTCTGAGAGCAGAAACTAATGATCTCATTTAACCCAATCAGGACTAATTGTTTAACATTCTTGTCATGACAATCAAGGATTTGCTTAACTCTGGTCCTGAAAGGGTTATTCTATCTGTCCTGTAAACATGTACAATGTTCCTGTTAAACACATAACATCATCCAAGCTATGTAGCTTTATTCTTAGAGCAATAACATTGACTCTGCACCAACATGTCGAGTTGTACAATGGAGCTTTGTTATAAAGAATAATTTTGCAGCAATCACCATGGAGACGAATAGAATGTCCCTGCTGATTGCTCCACTTTTTTTTTTTTTCTTTATACAGAACCCCCATTATGGTATCAGTCATTTCATGAACAAATACTACACTACAGTGAAAGGGTTAATGTTACAGTGAAAAGGTTAACATCTTTAAAACAATGTAGTCTTATACATACCCTTCAGAATTTGGGCTTCATAAATGAAAACTGTACCCTTCTTTTTAAATTTGACTTACTACCTGCAGTAGAATATGCAATTACATATTCTAAGGATGTTTCGCTGTAGCTAGGTTTCTGGGATTATATTTTTTTGAGCAGACATAGGTTTAATTTTATTTAAAATGTCACTGTTCTGCTCATTTGTGCAATAAAACTACCTCCTCACAGCCAATAAAATACACACATTTTAGCACTGCAGAATGAGTAATCACATATGAACTATATTTAATAAAAATATAGAAACCAAACAACATACATATAACCCTAACAAGTAGATTGCATTTCAACATCACTCTTGTTATGAAATTAGGTAATACTTGATCTAAACTTACTTGTCCAGGTGATATGCATGTAAATGGTTTTGGGGTGATTAGCCCACACAAACAAATGTAGTTAGTACAGCACAAGCATAAGCATATATTTAGACTTATGAGTATACGTTCCTTTATTGGAACAGTTATTGTTGACTCCGTTATATTTTCAGGAACTAAGCCAGTTACAGCTAATGATTATATACTAAAGTAGTCTGGTCGACTATAAACCTTTAGCTACTAGCTATAAGAAAAAAAACAAAACACTAGTTCTAAATTGTGCTGTTTTTGAAGTAACTGTAATTGAGGGACTATTTTACCTATGAAGAGGATAGAACAGCAGAATACTAGACGGAATAACTAATAACAATTTAATGAAGAATAATTATCACAGAATTCCTGTCACAGTTAAAAATTGTGGTTCTCATTGGCATTAAAGTGGTTTAATGCCCCATTAAAGTGGTTTATCAGGCATCCACGTAACTTTGACAAAAATACTTTGGGATAAATTCACATTAAAGCTGATTTTTATTGGCTAGATAGTTTTCCAAGGGGAAATAGCCAGGATTTATGTAGGTAATTTGTCTCACAATGTAATTCCAGGTGAAACCTTTGATTAGACTTGGCAATTTCCAACAATTCTGTTTATTGCTTCTTAGAGAAGAAATGGGGAAGTTTCCGGGGTTGATAAAATAATGCTAGACTAATGGCTATGTAAACTCAAATGGTCATTTACTAAAATGGGCACTTCTGGGAACTAAACCAAAAGTTCTGAATTTTAGGACAAGAGCTAAACCGAAAAATAATTTCAGACTCAACTCTACTTTCAATTGACCTATTTGTTAAATTCTCTAAAAACCAGCAATGTCTGGTATGTTTCAGGGATATTCCTTCATAACGTTTAACAATACACCTGAAACAATAATAAAGTAATTGATTCACTTAGTGGCAGTAGGATTGAATCCAGTTTTCGCAAACCTATTCTAGAAAATGTAAAGTTATAACTTAGGAGATCTTTGTATGCAGTCTCTGTTTTAGAAGTCTTGAGCTTCCGGGTCCAAAGCTGCAGTGGCATTTTGTGAACTATGCTAGTAAAGACAGATAAAGTGCACTTGACATTTTTAACTAAGCGATGATGCAAAGAGAGCACCATTGCTATGTCTTGAACCTGAGTTTTTTTTCCCCGGAAAGAGCAAACTAACGTCTACGTAGTATGAGGTATTTGCCACCACATCCTCTGAACCAGCAGAGATAGCAATACAAACTGTGCTGGGGAGATTTGTAAACCGGTGAATATCAAGAACTTTTCAAATTGAAATTAGGGGAAATTAATCCATACCTCTCTAATTATTGGGGAGTGAAATAATCTATATTTAATCGAACCACCTGTGCTAAAGCAAAACTAAAATTAAGTTATTCTAGTTTAGATATATAAAGTGATAGTAAAGTACTGAATATATATATATATAACCTGCTCTTATACAGGCTTTCTACTGAAAGATATTGGGAGAAAAAAAAAAAAAATCAATACTGCTGCTATCTGTAGTTATCAATGTTGCAAATAAAGTAACTGCTCTTTGAAATTAGACACACACACACAAAAAAAAAAGTTTTGTACAAGTCAGTAACTCAAAGGCATTCTAAAATCTCACCAAGTTCACTTTTAATCGCTCTGAAATGTACAGTCTGAAATGTGACAAACAAGCTTAAAACATTGCCACATATTTTGACGCCAAAATGCATTTAAAGTAGAACTTTCAGAGTTTAAAGCTTTAATATCACTTTAAATGTCCTAATATCTTATGCATGGTGTCTAAACACACATCAGATGAGAGATGACAACTTGAAAAGCTTCTTCTTCTGAGACTAATTTTCTAAAACTATTTCTAAATGTCAGATTGTTTAAGCACTGCTGTGAAATTTAGCGTGAGAAGCCAGCATTAAAATGAAAAGTAGCTCCTATAGAAAAATGATGCAGATGGTTTGTGGTGGGGTTTGGTTACTTGCAATAAAACTAATTTCCACTTACCTAATAGGCAGTAGCATGTTATGCAAATAATGTTTAGGTGATCTGTAATTTTATTCTTTCTTCAATTGTATTAAATGTATTTAAAACATACAGATACAACTTTTTTTTCTGCTGCTATGGAAAACAAAGGTACTTGGCGTATCACGATCTCTCTCTTCTCACGGTGTCATCATTCTCTTCTATTGTGACTACTGGCCCTTGAATAGAGACACTCATAGTGCATGCAGATTATACTGTTTGAAAAGGATCATCTCCTGGTCTCATAAAAAAAAAGGTAAAACCTAGCGCTTGAATCAAAACTAAAAGAAGTGCAAGCTTCAACATGAGGGTGATACATAGGTCACAGCTTTTATGGGGCTTTAATTGCCTTCACATGATATCATTACTTGATCTGTGGTTACAAAAAAAGAAAAATAAAGCATCAATGAGCCATGATTTTACATGTTTCAGTCTCTTGTCTGTTTTTTTTTTTTTTTTTTTTACAAACAATTCATTGTGGCTGGATGCTAGCTGTAGATCTGGTAGTTGGCCAATCTTAGCTTCCCACATATGTATCCTTCAACACACTTACCTGCTGAGTAAGAGTTAGCCATCACTGAGAATCTCAGTTTTTTTTAACACTATAAATTGCAGTAGGTGCCAAAATACAATGTTTACGTGCCACAAAATTATTTTTTTTCCCCATGTTCAATTACTAAACAATTTCCATTTCAATATATGTCCACTCTATAAGCATTAGATATGGTGACTTTCAGACTAAGTTATCTGAATCATAAGATTCACATCTTCCCATGTGCCCAAACTTGATAGATACAGGATAGCTTAACACTACAAATTCACATTATAACAAAAAGAAAGTATGCCAAAACCTGATGTTGTACATGGAGACATGGTGAAAGGTCTGGGTAGAACATAAAGCTGCACAAAAAGGATAAACACTTTAAACAAAAACAAAGCTGTGTCAGGTGTAAACATCTCTAGTCTACTAGGTCAGTAACAAATGTAGCAATTTAATTGTACTGCATCAAACAAATCCTGTTTAGAGGTCATTAGTGGCTCTGTCTACTGTACCAACAAAATCTTAATAGAGATTTGAAAGTGACACATAGTGTACATTTTCATGTTAGATGTAGTTCTCACCGCACCCCTTAGATATATTAAATTCAGTGTTATAGGGTTTTTACATATTTAGCATTAGAATAACACTGCCATCACTTTAATATGTAGGCTGTAAAATCATCAAAGTAGCTAATGAAATGCACTAAAAATGAGTGTGCATGAGAATCTGAGATGTGTTTTAATATGAGATGCCTGTACTCTAAAATAGAAGTTCACTGCCTGCATTAGAAAGGTTAGCAACATTCTCAATTAGGTATGGCTGAGCTTTTTTTTCCCTATAGATACACAATCTTTGTACTACGGAATTACGGGAAAAGCTAAAACATGCCTAACAGACTCAACCAAAATATTTATCCAAACTTAGAAGAAAAAAAACCCCATAATTCATTTTTGTGTTTGGCGAGACTTAAGACTGCATGTCAATATACCCCAGTTGTTGATTATTTTAATTTGATATATGCAATACTTCATTGCTAAATATCCCTACAAGCTGCCCGATCTATATGCAACTTGCAATATAGGCTTTGGTGCCTGACTCACAGACTTCTCTTCTGCTCATACTGGTGTCTTTGGGTACTGCAGAAGGGAACGTTTAAGGGTTAAAAGTCAGAGGTGGTGTAGCAAGGCTTTCCAGCAGGGACATGTCCCGACACATTTCATGTCTACTTCAAGTGGTCTTCCTGTCCCCTGCAGGAGCACTGCTTTATCCATTTGGGGTCTCCTTTCACAGGCAAGCACTGCTGCTGGCTCCCAACTGAATTACCAAGAGACGAGTTGTCCTCTGCTCAGTGACACAAGTATTTCACGAAGGGGGATTAGTGCTCTGACTTAACATGGTAGTCAGAGGGGGATCCCGGGTTTAAGAATCAGGGTGAGGGGAGCGGGTGCTTTGAATCATGCTTAACATGGTGCAAAGTTCAAATGCACAAATGTGACAGGAACACACCATCACAGGATCACAGATTAGATTCCAGATCATGCTCCTTCAGTAGGAACTGGCAGATGAGAGGGTCAATCTTTTACCAATGTAAATACTGCAATACAACCAAAATGGTCAGCCATTTATAGCAATCTAATACAGTTGGTGATTACAAATTACAAAAACAAGAAGTTTAGCACATTCACTAAAATGAAAAAAAAAATTTAATTTTATTTCTCTTTTATTTTTTTTTAAGATTTACTTTCTAAATTAGAATTTGTGTAACCAAACCAGGGGCTAGCACAACCCCCACATAACATTGAAACCAAGTACACAGCAACGTTTCGATCCTACAGTGGACTTTTGTCATCAAGCTTGACAAAGACCCCACTGTACAGTTAAAACGTTGCGGTGTACTTGGTTCCAATAAATTTGTCTTGCTGAGCTTTGGAATCTAACTCATTGATATACTTTAGCATTTCAGCACTGCAATATATGTTGATGGTAAATAAAATAAAATAAAAAAAGTTAAAAAAAATAAATAAATCAATATTTAAACTAAGGAAAAGACACTGCTCACAGTAGACAGATTTAAAATGCAGGACATACGTATCAGTGTGGTATAAACTTTTTTTAAAACAGGACTGTAAAATATTCGAGAGCCATGGGACCACAATATTTAAAACAATCAAGCGAAGAAAATCTGCATGTTTCTTACAGGGCATTAAAGGAAAAGTCACATTAGGCACCAGATAGCGGATGCACTGTGCTTGTAAGAGACTTTTGAAACCACCAGAGATGGGGAAAAAACAAAAAACTGGGAGCTTTTATTTAAATCGCCAGTATAAACAATAACCACCACAAAAAAAAAAAATGTACTTGAATTATTTCACTAGACAAATTTAGCATGTACTGTGCTTTCTCAACTGCTTAGCGTAATAGAGAACTTGTAAGTTTATTTTTATTTATTATTCTTTTTGTGCCTATTTATATTGGCGATGGAATAAAGCTTACTTTTTCTCCCCCCAATAATTTAGTATTTTCTGACCATTTAAAGGGTTTAATCACCATTAACTGGCGGCTTAAGTGATTTGAAGTGGTCATGCTGTTGGAGTCTCTATGTGCAGTGTTTCATCCTGAAATGGCACTAGTCTGCCTGGGATAGTTGCACCCTCAGCACACATGACTTACTCTGTTCCAGATTGCCTAAAGTCCGTTTTATGTATATTTTATATCTGTTGTCAACATTGTGAGCATGCTGCAGACAGACATATAAAAAAAAAAAAAAAACACAACTTACTTGTACACTACCCCAAATCCCTACACACATTTAAATAACTTTATTTTTCTTTATTTATTTTAAATATAGGGTGCAAGTAATTTTTTCTTTGGTTTTTATTGTATGTATTGGGACTGATGTGTACTATAGTCATTGCTTGCCCAGGAGTAATGGGAGTCTGAGTGCAAGGCTTAATTTTGCATGTTTGTACTTGCTTTTGTATTACACTATTACAAAGTCGTGTTACAGTGCGGCCACCGACCTCATGTGTTTCCTGTTAAGGGTTAATAAGGGGTTTAACAAAATACCCCTGTAAGTCTCAGAGATTTTACCTTTTAGCTGAAAGCAGCAAGGTAAATTGTTAGTGTAGGACTCACCTAAGAGGTTTGGCCTTGACGCACTACACTTGAATGACCATTGGAGACAGATGTAACTATTTCTCCCTTGCAGGCAGACCCAGCAAGGGAAGCTCATTTCCCACTCGCTCCCTTAATTTTTAAGTCCTCACGTTTGACCACCTTTCTTTTGGGCTTGTTTTCCCTAATTGCCCTCTCCTGGGTGGAACCTAATAGTAATGCCCAGCAGGGCATTTTAGGTTTGAAAAAAGAAATGGTGAAGACTGGTTTATATTAACCCTTTAATGAGACTCTCACAAGCATTGTGCTTCACTATCCAGTGCTTAAAGGACCACTATAGTGCCAGGAAAACATACTCGTTTTCCTGGCACTATAGTGCCCTGAGGGTGCCCCCACCCTCAGGGACCCCCTCCCGCCCGGCTCTGGAAGGGGGAAAGGGGTAATAACTTACCTTTTTCCAGCGCTGGGCGGAGAGCTCTCCTCCTCCTCTCCTCCGATCCTCCCCGCCGGCTGAATGCGCACGCGCGGCAAGAGCTGCGCGCGCATTCAGCCCGTCGCATAGGAAAGCATTTACAATGCTTTCCTATGGACGCTTGCGTGCTCTCACTGTGAAAATCACAGTGAGAAGCACGCAAGCGCCTCTAGTAGCTGTCAATGAGACAGCCACTAGAGGATTAGGGGGAAGGCTTAACCCATTCATAAACATAGCAGTTTCTCTGAAACTGCTATGTTTATGAAAAAATGGGTTAACCCTAGCTGGACCAGGCACCCAGACCACTTCATTAAGCTGAAGTGGTCTGGGTGCCTAGAGTGGTCCTTTAATGTTCTTATTTGCCCTTTCATAATAGGAGAACACTGACTTATCAATGTAGTAGAAGCTACATGTGCACTAAATCAGCCTGACACTCACCCCAGTCCCAGAGCCAGAACATGGGAGATGAACAGAGAGGGGATGAAAACTTTCAGGAACTCTGCAGAAAAGATACCACCTTTCTTCATGGCACCAGTCTTTCTCATGCTCAAAGACACTGATCGTTTGGGGTGGCGAAAATGGAACTCTCTGAAATGCAAACAAAGGGTTTAAAGGTATGTAAAACAAGAGGATTACTTGTCAAACGTGCAGAATTGGCAAGGGGGCTACATATTTTAGGCCAAAATGGTAGGATTGAGAATTCTGGCCTATAATTTTGTGAATAAAACCCAATGATTTCATAGCTGGATCAACTAATCCTATGCATTCATTCATTCAAGAAAAACAAAACACAGTACATATAAATAAATACAGAGATGTTGTATTCTAATTTGGAGCCATAGGAAGGTTTTAAGGTAGTATACAAACATTTCTCTATATACCAGTCACATAGTATAGGAGTTTGCGTAAGCACTGCTACTAAATACACATAATTTCATCATCAATACTGTTATATGAATGTATGTCTATCGGGCGTGACAGGTTCACGTTAACTGAACCTTACCCCTACAGATTATGAATATAGAATTTATTACATAAATCTGTTCAATTCTCAATTACATTACAGGAAAACTGAACTGCCTTTACTTTCTCTCCAGGACAGCCACGTCCACAGCTGCATGGTTTACAATATTGAAACACCCACCTCCTGACAAACCTGAACCCTGCCTGTGGTTTGAAAATACTGGGCCAGCTTGGGGACCCTACCCCAAGTGGTGAAATTCCCCTTATGAGGGGGATGCCGTCTTCATTGCCAGCACATTAGCATCTGAGCTTTGTTCCTCTACTTCTTTAGACAGTGCAAATGGGGCTGCTAGAGAAGTAACCAAAGCAACGGTAACGTATACACTGCAATTGCTGTGCTGTAGAGCACAAGAACCACCTTTAGGAGGATTCTTCTGCTCTCTCTTCTCAATCAAATGCCAATATAGATGATGACTATGCTGAAGAATTGAACAGATTTAACGTTAAATCTATACATTGGCTAGCAATTCTGCAAGCAAAATGTATAAATAGAATTTAATTTTGTATTCAATTAAGCAAATGGGTGTGTATCACAACGGGTCCACAGGAACACAAATGACATGGGCGAAGCACAGGTGTAGCAGGGGTGAGGAAGGCACTAGCATTGTCTTAAATAAAAATTCAGGGACTTGTATGTGTAGGTAGGATATTGAGCACATTAAGATAATTGTGAACCATCAAAGAAGATACATTGGTAATAGTCAAGACAGTAATGTCATATCAGATACAATAGTGTAGACACCCATACAGATATAACATTAGAGGCAGTTAACCCGCCATATAAAAAGAAGAAACTCAAACGGAAAAAAGACCACGTGGCAACAAATGTGTGGGAAACACAATTAGATAGCAATTAGCTCTTCATACCTCAAATAGTGCTTCATTTGAAATAGTAAATGGGCTTAATCAGACAAAAAAAAAAAAAAAATGGTACAAATAGTGCATTGAAAGTCCCTGTTCTAGCTTAAGTGACAAGGGCCCTTAAAATGTGAAGTATGTTGTGCACATGAAAAAATTAAATATAGATAAGATAGCAAATAAAGGCTAGCATTTGCCATCTGAAAATTTGATATACTGTCACGTCACAAGAGCAACTTTTAAATTCCTGCTCATACTTAAAGATTAGCATAGAGTTGTCATATTTTTCAACTACTGCGTGCTTCAAACTTTCAACACAAATTTAACTGCCCAGAATTTCTTACTTTTTACATTTTGGCATAAAATCTGCATTTTTTTGAATGTGCATTATCCAAAACCTAATTATGGCATAACTAACCAGGGGAAGACTTGCTTTAATGTTCTTAGCAGTCAAACAATAATGTATCTTGAGAACCCAGCAATGGTGCTGCCTTATATGGTTAGTTGGGCTCTATTAAAGCGGATCTGTCACTAATCAACCCCAGCCAAGGGGACCCTCACTCCAGTTCCCCACACCCACAGATCGCCCCACAACAGTTTTAGACCCCAGGACCAGGGCACATTACCTTTCTTTATCCTTGCGCCAATGCATCGTCTTCATAGCACTGGGTTCCTAAAGTTTCTGAGTTGGTGGCGTCGAGAAATTTTATATTCTTCCCTTCCTTGGGAATGCTCCTCAAATGTCACTCCAGCTCGAGCTTTCAATGGACCTGTGTTAACGCTCATGATCGCACAAGAGTTAACACAGAGGAACCATGATGTGCCTTCCTGGAATGCTGGAGGGAGGTGGTTATTGAGCAAGATGTCCAAAGACATCTTAACTAAAGCTCCACCCCTTTTCAACCTCCAATTTATACATAGAAAAGTAGTCTCTATTTTTCCTTATGTATAGCTTTGCAAATAAGGATGATAAAAAATATATAAAAATGAGATAGCCAAGGGGGCATTTTGGAAATGCCAATTTAATTTTGTCTTCTTTTTTTTTTTTTTTTTAAATTAAGAGCCGCTTTAAACTATGGTGCTAACTATAACACATATCAGACTGTAGTAGTTTTACACCGAGGAACTGTAGAACTTACTTTGGGGGAATATTTTCAGGTCTACTTGACCAATCAGACACCCAGTCTGTGCTTTTCTTTAGAACATCCACCTCCTTCTCTCCATCAGCTACTTCCTCTTCAGACTGCAATAGAAACAGAGGATTCAGTTATAATATAACCAATAACATAATAATCCAATAATAATGAAAAAACTACTAATTCTACAATATAGGTCATGCCCAATCTATATATTATCATAACAGTTATCAATACAGTCAAAAATTAGTATTTCATTAAACAATTCTATTAATTGAATGCAACTTACAGCCAAGTTTATTAAGTTTTGCAAATGACAAAAGCTTCAAAAACAGGATGAGAGAGAATGGGGCATGTTACTGAGTATGTATGGTTTCTGTACATCAGATAGTTTCATATTTTACAGAGATGTAGCTGTCCTGGTGCCTATAGCCTGTCCCTGTAGCCTTTTCAATGTAAACTGCTGCCTAGTAGTCACTCAGAAGACCACTAGAGAGTCCTGTGTCAGTGCTGCACAGTGTGCAGCACTTTTGTTCAGCGTCCTCACACTCTGCACGGAGGTGCTAAATGTTACCCAGAGAGAACATGCGCAATATCGTCCCAGGAGATCTTAAAGATTGATTATCTTAGCCATGAAGGAAGGACAAGCCGCAGAAAAATCGGCACAACGTAGGAAAGAAGGTAAGCAAAAACACCTCTCATGATCAGAGGGGTGCAGGTACCTAAACAGACACACAAAGACACACTGACAGAGACACACACCAACACACACACAAGTGGACATTTTCCATTTTAATTTTAATCCACCCAGCCTCCCTTTGGGAGAGCGGAGTGGATCTTTCCCTGGGGTCCAATGGGGCTGCTTCTCTCATCCTTCAAGCAAGGGAGCAGTAATCTACCTGCAGCTCCCCTCTGCTCTCTGTAGTGATGCCGGGCCACGATGACGTCATATTCCGCTTCCCGGCATCACTATACAGCTGCTCCCTCGTGCGCTGCCCCAGCCGGCCGCCTCCATGCTCCTCAGGGCAACCGTTTGGCTCCATTGTTTCCCCATCCTGCAGCTTTAGCTAAAGGACTTCAAATCCCAGGCACCAGGGCAATATTTCTAGTCACCCTGGTGACCTAGGATTTGTCAAGCCCTTTCCTAGCCCCTCCATTAGTCCCATTACCTTCCTCCCCCTGGCCCCTCCATTAGTCCAATTATCTCCCTCCCCTCCCTTCCTGTACCTGCTCGTGGCTGCCACGGTACCAGTCTGACAGGAAGTGCTCTCTCAGCGAGCACTTCCTGTCAGCTGCGATGCTCAGCCACGCTATACACAGAGACCGATAGGAGGGGAGCAGCACATTTTTTTCTATATTTTTGTTACACCGTCTGTAAGGAAGAAAATTTGCTTTAATACTAACTTTTCAGATCCTGTGTGAAATATTGCAAGATAAAGGACTTGTATACAGTCTAAAGCTTTTCAATTCCAAAATATTTTTTACTTATGAATAAACAAGTGAAAAATAAAAATTGTGTAAATTTACACACTTTAGTTTATAAGTTTGTCTGCAAAGCAATCCATCCACAAAATTACTGGGTAGTGACATGCACATGTGCTAGCTATGCACCCCTTGCTTCAAATACTATGTTAATATTTTTTCAATCAAACGTGCTTTTGTAGTAGTGATGGCGTTAATGAATGAATGGTGCATCACAGAGTTTTCTATAATAAATTCTCATTTTCAGAAAGGTGCTGGGATACGGGTGATGTTTCCTATTAGCTAGAACACATGCTGTTTGGCTGGTAACCCACTAACGAATTACAGGTGCACTAAACATTTTAATGTCTAGTAAAGGAACATTGATTGCATTGAAAAGCAAGGTATACTGTTCTTATAATCAAAGGGTTAAATTCCATTCTGCTTGCACTTCACTTATGCCAAGCACAGCATCACAAGGAGCAATGCCTGCGGGTGACTAAGAACCTCTGAGCAGGTCAGCATCAAAGCTCAGGTATGTTGGAGTCACCCATTTAATTACCAAGTTTCAGCATTGTTTAAATACCATTGTCCAGGTTATTATGACTCATTAGTATTTCTCAAGTTAAAAAAAAGTGACAAAGTCAGTATCAAGCAAAACTATATCTTATAAAATAAATTCAATTTTCCAGCGTTCCAGTTTTCATTTCCTTTCTGCAAGAGAAAGCTTAACACTCTGTGTACAGCAGATTATATTTGTGTGTGGCTATTCTTTTAATAGTCTCCGAATACTCCACTGCTTCTTTATATATTAAACAAAATCAGCACCCAAATCTATACAGCAGGCTTCCCTAAGAGAACCTAAAAGGGTGGGTCTTGGCAAAAACACACAATAACCACCCCTCTAGGACTGAGAGTAAATAAACCTATAAATAAATAAAAATGGGTGGCGTTTCAAAGCCGAAGACAAAGCCGGGTAGGTAGCAAGAAATTGCTTCCCTCTTTGTGAAATTAAAATGTTCTAATGATAGTGACACATTTATATGGTTCATAAAGGTACACTGGAATGAGAAATATGCCTGTGACATCAGAATTTATTGAGAGATCTCTGATGCTAAATAGGAGGAGGCGAAGGGATGAGGTTGTTAATCTGCTTTAGCTACAGTGTCAGCTTTAAAACTGATGAGATTTTTACATTAAAAAAGGAACTGTCACTTCCAGAGACATGACCGTTCTTTGTTCCTTCAACTTGGTAAATGCTATTTCAGCATGGAGTGAATAATGCAACAAACTGAGCTTTTCGGTTGCAGCAAATGTGCCCCCAAGTAACTCAGGGGGTACATACACCACAAGCAGGGTGTTTGCCAGGTGATGACCGGCCAGCCACTTAAAGCCCTGACCCCAGGAGGCGGTGGTCTGTTCACAAAGAAACGCTGGTGGCAGAGCTGATGCCGGTGTGTGCACTGCGGGCCGGCATTACTAAACAGTGCACGAGGGAGCAGTGTTGGAAGAGCACGAAGCGGCCACACTAGACCTGAGGGAAAGGATCCCCGCTGGACTCCAGGGAAACGATCCAATCCAGCTCTCCCAAAAGTAGTGAGGCTTAACCCCTTAGTGACCAGACCGTTTTTCAGATCAGACCAGGGCTCGTTTTACATTTCTGCGGTGTTTGTGTTTAGCTGTAATTTTCCTCTTACTCATTTACTATACCCACACATTATATACAGTTTTTCTCACCATTAAATGGTCTTTCTAAAGATACTATTATTTTCATCATATCATATAATTTACTATATAAAAAAAATTATAACATGATGAAAAAAAAAACAAACAAAAAAAAACAAACACACACACACTTTTTCTAACTTTGACCCCCAAAATCTGTTACGCATCAGCAACCACGAAAAAACACCAGTGCTAAATAGTTTCTACATTTTGAGTTTAGAAATACCCAATGTTAACATGTACTAAGCTTTTTTTGGAAAGTAATAGGACTACAAATACAAGTAGCACTTTGCTATTACCAAACCATTTTTTTTCAAAATTAATGCAAGCTACATTGTAACACTGATATCGGTCAGGAATCCATATTTATATCAAAATTCCCTTAGAATGAGATTATATATAGATCTCATTCTAAGTGAATTTTTATATAAATATATATTAATATCAAAATACAGTTAGAATAAAATTACACTCTCGTTTTTTAAAAATTATTTTTAATTATTTATATTAATACATACACACACACACAATATGTATACTGTACATATTATAATATATATACACACACACACACATATATATATATATATATATATATACACATACACACACATATACATATATACACACACACACACACATACACACACACACAAACGTGTGTGTAATTTTACTCTAGGTGTATTTTTATATTAATATATGTAAATATTAACACAAAAAAAATACACTTAGTATGACATATACAAGATAATAAATACACATATTTTTATTTATTTATTTTTAAGTAACTTTATTATTATTTTTTACTATTTTTCACCAGCAGGGGGACTGCCTGTCAGTGCAGGCAGTCCCCCTGCTAGCAGCACTGTGGACACCTATTGCGGCCTAGTGACCGCTCTTTTAGAGCGGTCATATGGCCCCTGGGGCCCTAATTTGCAGAGGGGGATCTGTCTGGGCTATCAGACAATCCCCCCAGTGAAGCAGAAGACCGATCGCCGGCGGGTAAAAGGTGGCGATCGAGTAAGTGGAGATGGAGAGAAGAGGTTCATTTTTTATTTAATTTTTTTTAGTTTAGTTTAATTTTAACTGAGTGCCTCGACCCCTCGTGGCACTCAGCATACAGGCAGAACATCTGCACTACACTACACGGACTCCACGTGAGGGAGCGATCACTCGTGGGCCCAGCAGTGAGGTTGTATAGCAATAGCGTTAGAGCATCTGGAAGCAATCATGATCGCTTTCAGCGTTTTAATTAGCCTTAAGTATCGTTATTTGTCGGACTACCCTGCACGTCCGCGGTCACTAAGGGGTTAAATAAAAATAAAACCTTATGAGTGTGTGAGAAAATGTGTTTGAGTATGCCAGTGTGTGTCAAATAAGTGTCAGTGAATGTGTGGGTCAAATTAGTTAGTGCATGTGTTAAATCAGTGGGAGTGTATGTCAGTGTCTTCTGGTGAAACTATTAAGTGTGTAATATAGTTTCATTTTGTGACTTTTATACTTCAGATTAATAGTTCATACACTCATCCATACATACACAATATTCACATCATGATAGATATATATATATATATATATATTAAAAAGGACACCATAGTCCCCAAAACAACTACAGCTTGTTGTGTTTGTTCTGGTGTAATCATTCCCTTCAGGCTTCTGTAAATCCTTTTTTTTCCCCCAGAGAAAATGCAGGGTTTACATTACAGCCTAGTGATAAGTCCACTGGCCACTCCTTAGATGGCTGTTAAAGCTGCTTCCTTGGGCAATGCTGCAGAGTAAGCAGCACTACCATTCAGTGTCTCCATCCATGCATACACTGAACTTTCCTCATGGAGATGCATTGATTCAATTCAACTCTATGAGGAGATGCTGATTGGCCAGGGCTGTGTTCGACTTGCGCTGGCTCTGCCCCTGATCTGCCTCCTTGACAGTCTCAGTCAATCCTATGTGAAAGCATTCTGATTGGCTCAGACCACCACAACTGATGATGTCAGCAGACAAGGGCAGCTCACAGGCTAACAGGTGCAGAACTAGCAGCTACAGACTTGACTATAAGTTAAGATTTTACTATATTTAGGGAGACAAGAGGGGACCATGGGGGCTATGTGGTGATTTTAACACTATAGGGTCAGGAATACATGTTTGTGTTCCGGAGCCTATAGTGCTCCTTTAAACATATTATGTTACTACTTTAATCAGGCTTGTTTTCCAGTATGGGATTAACTTAAATATCTGTGTCTATACGTTTGACTTGGAATTTAAATCAATAGAAATTATTTTCTCACTTAGGAATGGTCTTTTAGACTTGCAGGGGTACTTCTCCATAAACTCTTGAGAAACACTGGCTGGAGCAATTAATGGACAAATGCATGTGCAGTTGGCATGCATATGGCCTTGCAAGCATCAACTACTTTTCATGCAAAGCACATACAATAAAGTATAAATATTTATTTATTTATTGTTTTAAATGACCCAACCAACAGCTCGCTTTAGCTACTGGGAGCCCAATCACAAATAAGAACTTGTGATCAAATGTTAAACTATCTAATTGTTTAAAACAGATAATTTGGAGGATTGAGCTTAAATGGACACTCCAAACACAAACTTTTGCAGAAATTTTGTTTGCTGAAGTGCTTGATTTGTGAAACATTTTTGCTTTTGCCCCCTCCGTTGTACACAAAGTGCGGATTTTAATATCAATTGGCACTTTTATAAATTAATCTAGTCTACAACCCCTGGCTGTCAGACAAACAGTCCTGTTATTTCCTGGTTGCTTATCTCAGTGGAGCTAAACTCAAGAGGCAGCAATTGTCCAGAGCACCTGCCTTGCAAAGGCTTCTCATTGAGCTGCATTGGGAAGTCTGATTGGACAGCCACATAAAGTCCGGGCTGGGTTAAAAGGGGAGGGTTTGCAAAGGCTTCCGCTTTTGCAAGCTGTTTTAGCTATACCCCCAATGAAAAAATACATAGTTAAATGTATGCATGTTTTCATTGGGGGTTATAGCTACTTAACAGTGATTTTATTCGGACAGTGGAGTGCCAATTTAAATAATTTCCCACTAAAGTTCCTGTACATGTGAGGCCATAAATGTGCCCTCTTGAAACAAGCCAGCGCTGTGATTGCCAGAGGAGAAAAAGCACTGCTCTTGACATTATCAATGTAATTGTGTTTTCCTTTGCTGGTAAATAATGCAGGTGACACTTGGATCAGTGGTAAATGACCCTCAGCACTGCTCTTATGAACTATGCCCAAGGCCAGGTCTAGGCAACCTTCCAGATGTTGTGGACTACATGCCCCATAATGTTCTTACACCCATAATGCTGGTAAAGCATCATGGGAGGTGTAGTCCAAACCATCTGGACTACTAAGGTTGCCTATGCCTGCCCTAGGCTCTCAGGGCTTTGGCTGGCTGAGCATTATGGCAAATTGAATACATGATATGCAGTTAACAAATTTGAAAAATGTAGTCACTGTTGCGATGCAATAGCCATTATTAGATCAGTGAAAAGGGCCCTATACTTTATGTTATAAATGTAGGCAATCAAAATCATGCCTTAGAGTAAGTGACACATTAAAATGGACCATTGAAAACATATTGTGTTCAACACCTCAAAGAACTTTAAACACTTCGATTACAAAAAATAAGTATCCCCAAATTTATAGTGTTATTGTATGAGCATGAGGGAAAATCCCAAACACCTCTTCAAATTAATAACATATACAAGCAACCTTAACTAAAGATTCCTTATTGATTACACCTTTGTAAATAAAACATAACTGGAATAATTGATAACATAATAAATACACATTTGCACGATACCTGAAATGTTAAGCAGAATCTCAAAGAAACACACAGAGTAATGTTTACATGGAACACAATGACCTATTGGATCGTCAATGTACTTGGCTGTCCATAACCTTCAAGCTGTAATGTAATTGCCTGTGGCTATTTTTTTTGTCATTCACTACACAATATTACTTTAGGACAGTGCTATTTTGAAGGCATCACTGGCAGAAAAAAAGGTCTGTGAAATTTAGATTGTGATCACTTTGCTAAACTGGTTTAAGGTTAGAAACTATTATCGATCAGTTACGGACTCTGGATTATGTAGGCTTTAGGCAGAAATGTGATATCAATTAGCTTCATGTTTATGCTCAATACACCCATGTAAAATAGTGGCCTACTTCTTAAAAACACGTCATTTTATTGGTTTTTTTTTTTACTAGCTTCTAAAAATAAATAAATAAACCAACCTCCAAACACAACTCCCTATATCACACCCACATGCAAATACACCCTGGGTGAACTTGCTGTTGCATTAATCTGTCCTTCCATATGTTATGATATACGAGCTGTTTACAATGACAAGGAGGCACAACTTGTTCTGAAGCCTAGAATTAGAATGTCGGGCTCAGTGACATCAGTGAGGTACCATTGAGCAAGTTATGTTTGTTCAGACAGATGAGTGTAGTTGGTTCAGAATTATAAACATAAAAACAGGTACCTGGAAACTGTCTCTGCTCGTGTGCATCTCCACGTCAAATGTGATCTGTCCTTCTTCAGGTGAGGGACTAAATAACAAGAAGGATATGTTGGCTAAAACCTTTGTGTGACAAGTACATTATATGTAAAGGAGATTGTAAGTGGAGCACCAAGAATGAACAATAAATGCAAAATAAATTAAAGCAACACTGCCACTCCACATTCCCCTTTCCTGCAAATTCAGTATTTCATAAAGATAAACTCTTTATGAAATACTCATACTGTCTGTGTTGGAATTCCACTGAAATTCCAACCCAGTCAAAAGATATACTGGGAGAGTATTTTTCCCCCGCCTGACACTACTTGACGATGGGCAGAGCTACCGCCGTCAAGGAATGTCACCTGTGGAGTCTGCAGGGAATTGACCCGGGATCCTCATTAAACTCAATGATGTACTCTCACGCATGCATGACAGTAAGCTGTGACGTCAGCTCCTGGCACAGGAGCACCAGGAGCCAGAAGAGGACAGCGGCACCAGCGAGGGACAGGTACATTAAAAAATAAATAAATAAAAAATAAACTCGTCTTTGCTTGCCCCTCAGGGCCACTGGACCCCTAGTAGCGCAGTCACAGTCGGGGGTCCTTTAATAGGAACACTCCAAACACCATAGCCACTACTAGCTCATTTTAGGTTTTGACAACTTACCTGAGTCCCGCCAGGTGCCAGCAAAAACAACCTCTGCATCTGGTCTTCTACAGCAGGAGAATTTGGATGATTCCCAAGGCTGGTACAGTACCACGCTCACTGGCTGAACTTAATTAATGAGCCATTGAGCACAATGCTGAATGACCTTGCTTTGCTCTACATAGCAATCTGGATTCTCCTACTGGAGAAGACCATATGAGGGATGCAGCCATAGCGTCCAGCAGAACTCAGCTGAGAGGATTTAGGGAAAGATTACACGGATCAATACGAGAGATTATTTGGTGCAATAGGAGATTTTAAAGAGATACGATATATGAGAAATAGGAGAGTTTGTAGGGAGAGTAATAAGAGGAGTTATAAGGAGAGGTTTGTATGTAGTACTAGGATGGGCTATAGGGATGGATTATACGGAGGTATAGGAGTTAAAAGAAAAGGTTATATGGAGTAATATGGGGAGTTAGAAGGAGAGCTTATAAGGAGTAATAGGAGGAGTTATGTAATAATACAAGGGGTTAACTTATAAGGATGGATTATATAAAAGGGAGTAAAATAAGTAGTTATTACGAGAGGTTAGATATAGTAATAGGTGGGGTTATAGAGAGTAATAGGAGGGGTTATAGAGAGGTTATATGGAGTAATAGGAGGGGTTATAGGGAGAGGTTATACAGAGTAATAGGAGGGGTTATAGGGAGAGGTTATACGGAGTAATAGGAGGGGTTATAGAGAGAGGTTATACGGAGTAATAGGAGGAGTTAGAGAGAGGTTATGTAGAGTAATAGGAGTGGGTTATAGAGAGAGGTTATATAAAGTGAGGTTATATGGAGTAATAGGAGGGGTTAGAGAGAGAGAGGTTATATGGAGTAATATGAGGGGTTATATAGAGTAATAGGAGGGTATAGAGAGAGGTTATATAGAGTAATATGAGGGGTTATATAGAGTAATAGGAGGGGTTATAGAGAGAGATTATATGGAGTAATAGGAGGGGTTATAGGGAGAGGTTATATAGAGTAATAGGAGGGTATAGAGAGAGATTATATGGAGTAATAGGAGGGGTTTTATGGAGAGGTTATATGGAGTAATAGGAGGGTATAGAGAGAGGTTATATGGAGTAATAGGAGGGGTTTTATGGAGAGGTTATATGGAATAATAGGAGGGGTTATAGGGAGAGGTTATATGGAGTAATAGGGGTTATAGGGAGAGGTTATATGGAGTAATAGGAGGGGTTATAGAGAGAGTTTATATAGAGTCATAGGAGGGGTTATATGGAGTAATAGGAGGGGTTAGAGAGAGAGGTTATATAGAGTGATAGGTTATATGGAGTAATAGGGAGAAGTTATATGGAATAATAGGAGGGGCTATATGGAGAGGTTATATGGAGTAATAGGAGGAGTTATAGGGAGAGGTAATATGGAGTAATAGGAGGGGTTATAGGGAGTAATAGGATGAGTTATAAGGAAAGGTTACATTGAGTAATGAAAGCCTACATAGTGAGAGGTTATAAGAAATCAAGAAAAACAATGATTTTCATGCAATATTACATATTTCAAGTACTATTATGTATAAATTAGTATTTTGTCCTCAATTAAACAGCAGTATCTTGTTTGATCAATCATGATCTGACACTTTTTACAAAATACATAGAATCTTTAGAAAACAATTCAATTATGACACTAACTACAAATATTTCAATGTAATCAGAAGTGAAATAGTCCCTTTTTCAATCTAATAATACTGCTGTACATGATGTCATGGCTTCAGAGAGTTATTGTTCATCAGTTACATTTCTACAAGTGAAAACATACAATTAAACTAGAACTCACAAAAAAGTTTGTAGAGCCCATAGACCAATGCATCTCGGACATGTTCAACAGAACTAAAAGTTAAATGACCAAGCTTGGTGAAAGCATACTACAGAATCTACAAAGCCTGTTGATTTACTGTAAATGTGGAAACTTAAAACGTTTACATTTTTAATACATGGTTTAAGCAAAATACTAAACTAAAGACTCCCATGTATCACCTGTCACATTGGGAGCTGCTCCTTGAACTAGTTTGTCCAGACTCGTGTTGAGCATCCAGTAGAATCCTCTCCATGTCTCCATTGTGGATCGAGGAGGACGATGGCACATGCTCCAGTCCTCCATTTCTGTTGCTGTCATTGTTATTTCCATTGCCGTTCATTTGTAGCTCCACCCATGAACCTGTTTGATCAGAAAAGCCAAGTTCATAAGCCATAATGGTACTAAGCACTCCAAGTCAAATCTAATCATACAATGCTGGCAGATGAGGGACTGCAAGGTGTAGATAAAAAGCCAGTAGCACACAGACTACGATAGATGAGAAGGGCTCTCTGCTGTTCCTGGTATCAACTGAAAGCAGTGCAGGACAACCTCTACCTTCTATATCTGTCTCAAACTCGTGGAATTCTTTGCCTGTCTCCTGACATTTTTACTGGAGAGACAAACCCATGTGTATGACTGACATATGATGAATCCAGCCGGGAAGGAAGCTGGCAATTAATTACATCATCTAATGACCAGGTTTGAGAAGTAACACAATAGAAGGGCTGAATAGTATAATTCCCAATTTGTTTGTGTCAACTTTCCTTCACGTGATACAGCCTTTCAAGCACGTAAGCCTTAATCCTCTAGTGCTAGGCATCTGAGCACTGCATTAATAAGGCAGTCACCTTACTGGCATTCGCTGGGTTAACTCCTTACTAACAGGATAGAACAGAATTAGAATAATTCACTGCGCATGCAGCAGATTTGAAGGAGATTGGTTCTGGCTAAATTAGTTAATAATAAAGCTAATAGTTCATCTCATAACCGAAAACACATAGTAGATTCACCAAATGAATTTTAGCTGGAATCACAAGTAACAACTTGTCAACTTTAAAGTGGAAATACACCAGAGTTGTTTCCCAACACATTGGCATAGATTATGTCTGTGGATACAATTAAATTATCCCATCCATCTCATCTGCATGAACCATGTACTTTAATCATTTCTGTGATGCAGGAAAGATAAGGTTAGTTAACCCAAAATGATGTATAGCAATAGCTTTTTACACAAATATTGCCAATATCGCTCTGTATGAGGACATTCAGTGCCAGTGAAATCCCCATAGGAAAGCATTAAAGAACACATTACACACAGCCCAACAGCCCCTCCCCTTCCCACATAACACAAACCCTACAAACATCCCACATGTTAGATAGAGCCAGCACATACAGCCAACAAACCATGTACACATTACACACATACTAAACACAGCCAGAGAACATACACAGACACACTAGTTGTAGTTTTAAAAAAAAATTTTGATCAGAACATATAGCTTATCATGAGGGACAAGTGGATTAGGTTACAACTTTAGTCTTGTGGACATGTAGATTTTGTTTTTTTACACATCCACACCCATGTGTATGTCGAACTGTTAATTCTTTGTAACAGGCTATTCAGACATATCTAAGTTATTCTGTACAATCTACACTTACGAAAAAAAAAAAAAAACTGCACTTATACTTGCCACAACCTAAGAAATACTACCCACAAACAAACACGCTCTAGAATTATATCACACTAGGGAACTCATTATGAAACGCAGTAACCTGTTCCAGCACATAAATTACAAAATCCCACGAGTCACATGCATAATTGTACAAAGCCCTTGCACGTGTCATTTGAGCAACCTGGTAAAGAATATGTAGACATCAGGACTGTTACTATACTCACTTTCACCATGTTACATACATGTGCATTATGGGGCTCAAAGCTGTACACAGCTGCGTGAATGGATCAGGTGCCTTTAACAAAAGACACCTTTTTTTTCAGCACAGCTATTCAGAGGAACACATTCTCTGATACACAGTGCTAGAGATACAAAGCCTTCCACTTCTGACAGCGAATGTGTGATCACGGCAGTAAAGCTGCTATAGGGTAAAATATGTAAGAGTGATTATGAAAACATAACCCTGTATTAAACCCATACAATGTGATGATCCATAGAGCATTAACACTTTAGGGACATAATTATCTGATCAATACTAAGTAGATTTTTTAATTTTACATTTTAGCCATGAGTTGCCCAACACAAATGTCATTAGAATTATTATTTATTTATTTTTAATGCTTTCTTTTTTTTGTGCAAGGAATAAAGCGCTACATACATTGTCACAGGGATATCGGACAAGTCAGGATTCGAAGAATCATTATGACATGCAGGTGGACAGCACTTTTTATATACCGGTTTGTTATAGTTAAGATTGCCAATAGTAGAGGGTATATAGTCTGGGTCAATGTAGCATGAATGTGGTCTGGCGGTCTAGCAGCTTTTTATGGAGTTCCCCTCCATACGGGGGAGGGAGGTAGTATTCCCCAGTCGTTTTGAGTGTGAGGAACAGGCCGGATGCGGGTAGCGAGGGGCCTTGTTGTTGCGTATGTGTAGGGGAAGGCCATGGTGGGCTTGTGTTTGTGCCTACGGTGGGTGGACAGTTGGATCAGAGTCTGCAGAGGTTTTACTCTGAGTCAGTCTATATTGTGTGTGGTCTGGAGGATGTGTGTGGCTCCGGTGGGGTAGTATCTAAGAGTGACATTAAAAGCATGACAGGATAACATCAACAAGAAATAGTAAAATAAAAAAATAGAGAAAAAACACATCTCTTGTGGTGGGGAAGAGTTCAAGCCCGTCTTTGCAGGCATACTGAAGCCGCTCAGGTGGTGTCAGCTGCCCGGTCATCTTGTCACTATCCCCGAGGTTCTGTTGTTGGGTTCCATGCGTGAGTTAGGGAGGATGTTGTATTCGGTCGTGCTGTGATCAGGGCGTCTATTGGCAGCCCCAGTGTTGGTAATAGGTCGGTTGCCTCCAGTAGATCTCTGCTGGTATGAGTTTCGGTGCCGTGTTGTATTTCCAGCATGCGTTGCAGTCGCCACCTGTACATGAAGCTGTTAGATCGGAGTAGAACCGTGAAGGGCTTGAGTGATCTTCTCCACGCCATGGTGCTCCCGGACAGGTTTGCATAGAACGAGAGTTGCATTCCTTCGAAGGTGTATGGAGAGTTTTTCCGGACTGCGTTCATGAGAGCTATTTTATCCTTGCCGCTTCGAAATTTCACTAAGAGATCCCTCGGTGCTGATGCTGTTGCTTTCACTGGTTAGTGCAGCGAAACAGCCCCTCCAGACCCACCTATCTAGCTTGCTTAGGGGTTAGTAGCGCTGCGAGAAGTCGCAGTAGGAGGTGCGGCAGCTCTATCTCCGGGTTCTCCTCGATACCCCTAATCTTGAGGCTCTGCCTGTGACTCTGATCCTCCAGCTCTGAACCTTTGATCAGTTTTTGTTTGTTTGTTGGATTTGTAGATCTTGCACAAGCTTTTAAAGTTTGGCCGTTTGCTGGGTGTTTTTGTGGGTGTCACTTTCTATAGCTCCCATGAAGGTCGTTAGGCCGTGCAGGTCCCATCAGAGCTGGGCCATGTCGGCCTGGATTGTATGCTGGAGCTCCGCTAGCAGGCCTTTCATGATCGCCGTAGTCATCGAGGCCAAGTCTAAGTGAGAGGTGGTAGGTTTGTGGGCTCTCTGCTCTGGTGCTTGGCACTCTGGTATCCCCAGTGAGAAATCCTCGGAGGTCTCTGTCTCGTCTGAGAGGTCGCCATTTTAGGCTCTGCTCCACTCCGGACCTGGCGCAACAAGTTTCCGATATTCATGCCCATGCTCGGCTTCTCAGGTCTTGGCTTTTTGTTTTTTCTCCCCATATCGTGAGAGTCTGCTGCAGGGTCGGTTTGCAGGATTTTGGGGTGCAGGAGACCCCTTTAAATCGCTTGTTAATGTGTTTGTCAACCCAGAGCTCGAGCAACATGCGGCTATTCAGGTCCGTCGCTTAGCTCCGTCCCCCGTTAGAATTATTTTAAAAACCTCCGCCTATTAGTTCTTTCAAATGATATGATAAGATCCAGCTCTACGACTAGGGTCCTATATTATATTATACTCAGTCCTCTACCTGCAGTGACTGTAAACTACATAAACAAATGCAACAATCAAGGGAAAGTCAACCATGCTCATTGTAGCAGGATATTTATGAAGCATCCATTTGAGAGGATTCTTCCCAGAATCCCTATCCATCGTTCTTAGCTGCAGCTTTTCTTTTTTTGTGTGTGCAAATCTCTGGTTTGTCCTGAAATACTCCCAGACAGCAATTCCTATGAATGGATGGGGGAGGGAGGGGGTGCTGAGCTCCCTGCAGAGACCTCACTATGTGGAAGGAAAAATACAGTCCTGACATCGTGCTGCTCAGCACGCACGCTAACAACTAAACGACACTTAACACTCACCTACGAATTCAAGCACCCTGAATATCCAAAGTATCATTTGCCAAACTGACAAAACAAAATACACAATGTTCATTTAGCTAAATTAATTAAACTCAGTTAGATCCTTGTTCTTTTTTAATCCATATTAGCCTGCTTCCCACCACATCACATGTAACTCTACAAGCACCACATTTGTTGCAAAGAAGTCAGCTAAAAATGCAGTATACATTGGGCTATTCTTGGTCTAAATAATTTCAGGAAATAAGGCTGAACACTTAAGATAGGGAATGGGCAGGCAGCCATTTGGTCCTTATCTACAAAGAAAATTTCAGGTTTTTTTTACATGATGTAATTTACAGGAAAGTGAGCAATAGCTTTTGAGCTTGGACATCTAACCCATAACAACAGTAACCGTAGCCCAACAACAAGCAGAATGTCACTGATGGACACCCCTGCTTCTAAGAGTTTTCACTAAACCAGGGATTGGGACTGGCCCGTGGAAAGCCAACCCTGCTGTCTGCCTTTTTCTGGCATCAAAGATCTCCCTCACCGGTCTCCGGGCAGTTTGTAGAAGCCAGTTTGTTAAGTGGGAGGGAGATAGGACCTGTGTGCCTGATGGACAGGAGGAGGACCCAGGAGGCTGTGATCCTCCCGCGAACAGGCACGTCGGAGCATTGCCGATTGTTACCATGGCAACGCTCAGACAGTGCTGTGCTCGCGGGAAGAATATAGTGAAGTCAGCCTGCGTATTAACAAGGGAATTTACATTTAATATATTCTTTTCAAAGACCTTTCTAGGATTCTGGAACATCATGACAGGTCTTATAATAAAATTCATTTTTAGTGAGCATAACGAAGAGCGCACACACACACCACCCACACACAAACTACACCCCTCTCTCACACACACACACACTGGAAGTAGCAATATCATCAATACCAGCTAACATCACACCAAAGATAAGCAGTTCCAGCCATCACATTAGGAGTGAGTTAATTAAATGTTTGACCAAATACAGCAGGCTAATTTTTAAGTTGATAATTTTGTATGGCCCGCGAATTAGGTTTTAAATATCCAAATGGCCCTTGGCAGATAAAAGGTTTCCCACCCCTGCACTAAACCATTCCAGGAGAAGACAGGGCTGCAATACTGGACAGCTGAAAACATATTCATGGTTGTTTCCTAAAAAAAGCAGGAGTAAATTCACGACTATTGATCCTTTAGCATATTTAGAGCATGGGTTTGATCAACTCAACCAAAATGTATAATGGAAAACTTAAAGGACCACTATAGTGCCAGTGCCATGAGGGTGCCGCCGGGCTGAAGTTGGAGAAAGGGGTTAAAATCTTACCTTTCTCCAGCGCCAGGCTTCCTCGGCGCTGGGGACTCTCCTCCTCTGGACATCATCGGCTGAATGCGCATGCGTGGCAAGAGCCGCGCGCGCATTTAGTCAATCCATAGGAAAGCATTCTCAATGCTTTCCTATTGACGCTGGCGTCTTCTCAGTGTGAAAATCACAGTGAGAAGCGCGGAAGCACCTCTAGCGGCTGTCAATGAGACAGCCACTAGAGGCTGGATTAACCCATTTGTAAACATATCAGTTTCTCTGAAACTGCTATGTTTACAGCAGGCAGGGTTAACCCTAGAGGGAACTGGCACCCAGACCACTTAATTAAGCTGAAGTGGTCTGGGTGCCTATAGTGGTACTTTAAAATGAGCAGTGCTTTCCATCCAGCACCCTATGAGAACATGCAAAAACATCCAACACAATCTTCTGATCAGAGGCAGTTTTCTTTATTTCCCAGTATTTTATGCTGAACAGTAAATGGAAATGCACTTTCAGGGTCATTTACTATAGTGAGAATTGTCGGGAATTCAAAGAGAATGTCAAGATTTACACCAAAATAGTTTAACTAAAAACAGAATAGGAGATATTTTCAAATTCAGTTTTTTTAACCTTAAACTTGGATTTCACTTTGAATTCCAAATCCCCACAGCTCTCACTTTAGTGCAGCGTTTCTCAATTGGGGATGCGTGAGAACACAAATGGGGTTCTGCAAAAATTTCGGGAAACAAAATGGCCGCCACCCGCCTCAAGTATCGCGGCAGCCATTATCGTGGCGTGCACAGCAGTGATGCCGGAGCCGGAATATGATATCACTCCGGCATCACTAAGAGACGCGCAAGGGAGCTGAGCGGGAAGATCACTGCTCCCCCGCCGTCCAGGCCCACTGGACCCCAGGGACTGCACCCCAGGGAAATAGAGATTCCATGCAAGCACTCCCAAAGGTAGTGAGGCTGGGTGGAGTGAAGTTTTTTTTAAATAATGTATGTGTCTGTTAAGGAGTTTGTATGTGTGTGTGTATGTCAGTGAGAGTGTATGTGTGCTTGTCAGTGAGAGTGTATGTGTGTGTCACTGAGAATGTATATGCGCATGTGTTTGTATTTGTGTCTGTCAGTGAGAGTGCGTGTGAAATACTGCAGAAAGGGAAAGAAAAATCAAAATATACAGAATGGAAACACACAGAGGAATAAAGAATAACAATTAACTGTCAAGCAGCTGCCTTCTAGAGATGTGCACAGAAATAATTTTTTGCTGACCGTTAATCTCTATGACCTGCTGGCAGCACTAGAAGCCAGTGGGAAAATACTTAAATAATCCCTGGTTGCAAGAGGGTTAACCATGTGAAGGCTGGCCTATATTAAGGCCAGCAGTCATATTAAAATGTAAATACATTGAAACTAATCATAGGACATCAACATTACTAGAAAGGATGTTGTAGACCTCCATTGTGCACCCAGCTGCCATGTGGCATATGGGGACATATCTACTAAACATAAAAAAACTAGCGACAGGGCAGTCATGTATTACATTTAAAGGGTTACTCCAATGCCAATGACCACGTCTGCTTTTTGAAGTGGTCGTGGAGGAAGGAATCTGGCTGTGTAGTGTTTTAACTTGAAACACTGCACAAGCAGAGATATTTGAACTTGTTTGCCAGGAGCTAGTTACACCCTTAGCACATGTGACTTTGGTAGCCTTGAACTCTGTTGTGGACTGCCAAATGTCAATTCTTTGCATATTTTATATCTGTTGTCAGTGTGCACTGCACGCTGGCAAAAAACGGAATTTGATTCTTGTGTCTCCCCTCCCTCCCTGCAGCCCAGCTCACCGGTCTTTTTTTAGGCTCTACTTCCCTTGTCGGCTCAGAGGGTGTGCAGGTGCTATGAGCTGGCTACACGGCCCAATCGAAGATTTCTTTATGAGAAGCCCTGGATTGGACTGCGTGAAGGCAGACATGACGTCACAAGGGGGCATGGAAAGCAGAGTTGGATTTCAGGGAAGTAAAACTTAGTTGATTACATATTTTTGCTGTTTGGAATGGGGGCCAAGGTATAATGCCTAAATAAAAGTTATAAGAGTTGGAGTAAATGTCAATAGCTGCCCAACCGTTAGTATGTTATTATGGCGAGCAGCCCCACAGCATGATAAAAGTTTTATACCATCCACCACGCCCATGATCCATGTGCTGAAACTGTTGCATATCGGCTAAACAGAGGGCAACTAGTGGCTGCTCACTTTAATAACCGAATGACATGTAGTCAGTTTGCCATTTTATCAATGACGTTTCTTAGTCTTATTCTGACTAACTGATAGAAAAGTCTAAATTTTTTGTCATTTTGTCATTCCTATGTATATGAATTCACATGCCTTTAGTGACCATTTTGTAGAGATCTTCAGAGGAGCTTGGTGGGATGAATTATGTTGCAATAGTAGTGGTGAGGGCATTTATTTTTCAAAAGATATGTTAAATTCTTGATAAATGTTGAAATCTCTAAATCTCGCTCTCAACCTTTGTATATTTGACAGTGTTGCCATGGCGATTGAATTATAGGATCAAGAGCAATGAAGTAGACCGGAATGTCTGTTCACCTAGTGAAATAAAATCTTCTAGCAAAAAAGCATGGTACACCTTGCAGGGGCCTCTAAAAGGCTTGCAACTTTTATCGGAATCTATTCTTGACTGAGTTATATGTTGAGGACAAATGCAGAACTGGATACAGCCAACAGGGTTACTGACTAAACTCTGAATGGACTGTATCGATTAGGGCAAAACTATGCACTGCCGTATGGAGATATTCGGACTGCAAAATCTTGACACTGTTCACAGTATTTAATGTTTAGATTTGCGGAGTAGGTACAAATGAGCAGGAATTTGGTCCAGAGTTCAGTTGGACCGAAAGCTGCTGAACGGTTATAATACGGACACAGTAAAGGAGGAGAGTATAATTACAAAAAGAAGGACTACTACAACAAGAGAACATTGTCTTAAACTAGAGGGGTTATGATTTGGAATAGCCTTCCAGCTGAAGTGGTAGAAGTTAAAGGGACACTCCAGGCACCCAGACCACTTCTGCCCATTGGAGTGGTCTGGGTGCCAACTCCCATTACCCTTAACCCTGCAAGTGTAATTATTGCAGTTTTTATAAACTGCAATAATTACCTTGCAGGGTTAACTCCTCCTCTAGTGGCTGTCTACTACACAGCCACTAGAGGGCACTTCCTGCTTCATAGCACATATTTGTGCTATAGCGTCACTGGACATCCTCACGCTATGTGAGAACCTCCAGCGTCGCTAAAATCCCCATAGGAAAGCATTGAAAGCATTTTCAATGCTTTCCTATGGGGAGGTCTAATGCGTGTGCATGTGCATTAGGTCTCCCCCGCGGGCGGCCGCACATGAACATTAGGTCTCCCCCTCCGGCTGACGTTGGCGGGGGAGGAGCACGGGCGGACCCTAAACCACCGACACATTTGACTCCCTCAGCAGTTATATATTTTTCATTTACCTGCATCTTCTTTCTTATGCTTTTCACACACACTCCAGCAGGGACACTAATCTAACCAGTGTCCTATCACTAGGAATGCTGGAAAAGTGCAGTGGGCAAGCCTGACAGTATTACACATTTACAGTTAGAAAATCTCATAACCTTTGATGCAACATTCTGACAGTGGAGGATGTCTGATCAGTGTGTTCATGCAGAAATGGCTTCAGTTTCGGGTTTCTCTCTCCTGCTGCTGCACAATGATGTCTTGTTTCTGTCATTAGTGGAGTAGTCAGAAACTAATGGGTGGGTAATGGTGGCCTAAAGTAACTTTGCAAGCTGAGAGGCGTGCCTAACAATGCAAACTGATCAGGTTTATAGTAAGTTTATAAACGTTTATCACATACATTTCAAAGTTTGTCTTGCTTTATTTTGGTTTGTGTTTGATAGTATTTGTATGCAGATATAAAAAATAGCCAAGTGATGCATGACCCTTAGTCAGCACATTAAATAGTAAACAGATAAATAAAGCCAATGGGAGCAAAATGAGCCAATTTTATTATAAGGGAGGTTTTACCGTTATGTCCCCACACAAATCTACTAAACAGTACGCAACCAGTGTTAGCTCACTGTAACTAAACTAGAAATGCCCCATCCAATCAGGAGTGGAGAGGGGAACATCTGGCACAAGGAATCAGTTTGGGCCTTAAATTCAAAAAATGAAAATGCTGTACTTAACCCATCACCCTAATAATAGTGTGGGACAATACATTTAACACCTGTAAGAAAAGAAAAAAAAAAATCACAAGTCTTATTTCTTCTAAAGTCTTCTTTTCTTCAGCACCAAATCATGGCAAATGAAAACCCATTACATTACTATTAAAAAATAAAAAGACCAATTCGCAAGAAGCACAACAAAAAAAGAAAAACCATGCCACAACAAAAATAAATCCTATTAGGACGGAAATAATCTTTATAAAGGTTTTCATATACTTTGAAATTTCAGAACAGTGTTCGGATTGGTTGCCTTGTCTCATCTCTTATAAAATTTGCCTTGGATTTTTTCTCTACTGAGATTTCAAAGCGTGGGAAAACCACTATAAGCACTATGTAACTTCCCACAAAAAGCTACTCGCTGCCACAGCAGTTGCCCATGGGGCAGTGGAGACCCACTAGATACTGAGAACAGTAACACCATAACCACTGCAGCTCATTGTAGTGTTATAGACATCTCTCCTTACGTTTTGACAAACTGATTTGATGTGGTTTGACAAAAACCCTGCAGCCCTTACCGCACTAGGGACCCCGCTACTCAGACCAAGAGGCCCCACTAAAATGGCGGCAAAGCAGAATCCACCAGTTCGTAATGGGAACGCCACCTTTCCTCCCTCGCTGGCTACAGTCGTCACAAAATCAAGGCGGATGCTACGTATCTGCATGAGGCAGCCTGACGGATGGGATCTCCGTGACACACCACTCCAGTGCTTGCCGGATCATAACCACTGTGGTGCCTGGGCTCACATAAGGCGAAGTGAACGGAGAGACAGCTGACTGACAGACGCGGCACAGAACCAACCCACCCTGAATATCACCAAGCGATTCACACACAGGCTTATCCAAGCGGCAAGCTCACAGCACACGACACTGCTCCCTACCCTGGATCTAGATTGCAGCGCCTCCGTGATAGAGCTACAGCACCTGTCGGTTCACAGCAGGAGGGCACCAGAACGCCAAGGAGCATCGGCTGAAATGATCTGTCCCTACTAAATGCGGATTTCTCCTGCCTACGGCAGTCAAAGCGTGAACTCTAGTTAAGCAACACCTTGCATAAATGTTTTGAGCCTGTAAACTCTAATATCCTTCCAACTAATGCCTTGCTTGCTTGGGGTCTGGCTTCCTACTAGCGGGGGACTCATAGGTGTACTATCAGTCTCTCATTCTACGTAACTACTACTATTGCCTGTATAAACATCCATTGCATATGTCCTGATCTCATTCTCACCTCTTTTGCAATCTCTATGCACTGAATCATTTGGGACATAACTTTCCTTTAACAAACAAACAATTTGTGCAGTTAATTGATGAGCCTGTTCTCAACCTTATAAAAATGTGCAGTTATTCTGAGGAAAAAAAAGTTGAGAGAGCCAAGGGTTTCTTACATTAAATAACCACTCTAGTGCCAGGAAAACATACTCGTTTTCCTGGCACTATAGTGCCCTGAGGGTGCCCCCACCCTCAGGGCCATTATCCCGCCGTGCTCTAGGAGGTGGAAGGGGTTAAATTTACCTCTTTCTCCAGCGCCGGGCGGGGGACTCTCCTCCTCCTTGGCTGAATGCATGCGCGCATTCAGCCAGTCCATAGGAAAGCATTCTCAATGCTTTCCTATGGACGCTGGTGTTTTCTCACTGTGAAAATCACAGTGAGAAGCACCTCTAGCGGCTGTCAATGAGACAGCCACTAGAGGCTGGATTAACCCTATTATAAACATAATGTTTATAGAAGAAAGGGTTAATCTTAGCTGGACCTGGCACCCAGACCACTTCATTAAGCTATAGTGCCTATAGTGGTCCTTTAATGTACAGATCACACTCTGGCAAGGCATATAATGCAAAAAAAAAAAAAATAATAAATATATATATATATACACATACATACATATACACACACACACACACACACACACACACACACAACTATTAAAAGTTCTTTTAAAAAAATTTAAAAAAGTTCCAGCAGCATAAAATATCTTCATAATAAAATTAAAAAAAAATCATATAATAGTATAGGTTTGTTATAAAGTATACTAAAATGAACCACTCCACATCCCAGATGCACTTGAGCTTTTTTTAAGCCCAGTTTCTAAAAGTGCTAATTTCCATGTAAAAAACAAACAAAACAAAAAACACCCCCCTAGCTGATGGACTTCTTCCATTGACTCCATGAGCTAACGGAAGTGGCTGGCGTGCTCAAATTGTGCGTCCCAGCCTACTCCCACACAGACCTCAGATCAGCACATCCAGACCTCAGATCAGACGTGCGCACAAGTCTGTTAGTGTGTAATGTGAGTGAGGCATATAGGTGTGATGACTGTCTCTAACTGGGCCTGGCAATGTTTGTGAACTTCCTTAGCATTATACTGTGCTCTGTGCAACACATTTACACCTTACATCTCAATCAGCTGGTTCAAGTTTGTTTGACAAACTTGAAACTGTCTCAGTAAGGTCAAATAGTACCAACAAAATGGACCAGAGTTGGACTGAACTGCTTGGCTTTCTTCACTGTTTTGTTTTTTATATCAGTATACACATGTCCCCCTCCCCCTAAATCCAAACATTAAGACATCACAAAAACATCACCTTTTGCAAATTGGAAGTTTTGTACAAATTTTTTTTTTTTTTTTTAAATTTAAAATGTTTTACAGAAACTGCAATATTTACATTGTAGGATTAAACACACCACTAGTGGCTGTCTTCTAGACACTAGAGGCGCTTCTGCAGCAACAGCTTTGATTCGGTCGTATGATTAAATGCAGCTCAATAAATTCAATGCTCTCCTATGAGAAGCATTTGATGGACACACGCACATCTTGTTTCCAATTCTCCTCTATAAGCAGCATTGGATTGGAGAAGAAGCCTCTCCATGATAATGTTTCATGACGTGAAAGAGGGCAGCAGCACTGAGGGAGTCTCAGCACTGCAAAAAAAAAAAAAAAGTTATGTAATAAAATTTTCGGGTTTTTTTGCAGGTGAAAAGGAGAGAGGAACTAAATCTAAACATGCACTAGGACACTATGGCGTTGGGAATACATGTTCATATTCCAAACTCACTGGCGTACTAAGGGGGGGCGGAGGGGGCGGTCCACCCCGGGTGCCAGCAGGGTGGGGGGTGCCTTGGGAGGGGGCGCTGGCCCCCCATGCTGCAGCTGCCCGAGCGCTCTGTAGAGAGCCTCAGGCGGCTGCAGCTTTGCCCGGGCGGTGCGTCCATGAGGGTGCACCGCACGGGCGCAGCCTGAGGAGAGGGGCTGACAGGAGGGAAGCGCTCAGCACTCCCTCCTGTCACTCCCTCTGTTGTAGCGTGGCCAAGCCCAGTATGGTCCGCGGGTACAGGGAGCAGCTGTCTCCTGTACCGGCCGGACTAACAGGAAGTGCACACTCAGGAATGTTGGGGTGGTTGCCAAGCACATGATCCGCCCCGGGTGCTCTAGGTACGCCCCTGTCCAAACTGTATAGTGTTCTTCAATAAAAAGTTTACTAGCTAGAGTAATAATGCAAAACTCCCACTCTATGTATGGATAATCTAAAATTGTAGCTACATGATGAGGACTGTAAACCTTCAAAACTATTTTTCCTGGAATAACATTTTTTACAAACATTTGCAACCCCCTTATCAGAGCACCACAATATCCATTTTAGTGGATCCCTGTGGGTCGTGCTTCCGTTGGCTGTCTTTGCACAGAATTGACATTAGCCAATTTGAAACTTTGTTCTGGGCTGACTAATAACATTGCTGGAGGTGGAATTACACCTCCAGCAGCCAAGATGTTAATATCTGTACGTGTAGCATTACATATTGAAACCATGCATACAAACTCCAGGCACAATGACCGCTTCAAATCACTGAAATGGTCACTGTGCGTGGAGTAACAGTTTATGTAAAAAAAAAAAAAAACCCTAAACATTTACTCGTGCATGGTCTATTTGTTTTCCCCAGTATGTCCAGATAACCAGTTGTACACTGTGTCTGCTCACTGTAAAGCAAAAGGAATAGAGTAATTGCTTAAAATGCTCCATATGTGCAAAATTTCAGGGTTTTTTTTACTTATACAACAAATATTGCTTTGAAGATCTCTTGACTGCAGTCTTTACCAGTCCTCTCCAACCCAGACTTTCTGTGGCTATCCATTCACAGACCTTCCAAAGCAGCTCAATGAGAAAACTTAGCAAGGCAGGTGCTCCAGGTAATTGCTGCCTCTTGGGTTTTAGCTCCACTGAGCTAAACAACCAGTAACATGACAGTTGTCTGATAGACAGCTGGGGGGGTGTAACAAGGTTAAGTTATAAAACTGTCACTTTCTATTAAAATTTGAAGAAGAAAAAAAAGGCAATCTTTTTAAAAATAAAGCATTTCAAAAAGCTTAAGTGTTTTAGGGGTCTGGAGAGTGAGGACCTACTACTAAAAAGGTACACAAAAGCGTTAGGAATACAAACCTAACACTTTAGGGCCCCTGTCCCTAGGTATATCCCCCCTTGCCATAAAAATTAAGAACATTAAAGGTGTATTTGCCTTTTTTCCAGCACTGATTCTTACTTGGCCCTGCTTACCTCTCTGCCTCCTGTGATGTTATGAAGGAGGCATGGCCTGCCCCAGGATACTCCAGTCCAATGCTCCTCTATGAGAAGCATTGGGGACCCGATGCAAATGCATGGAAAGTGCCAGGTGCATATCCATGCTTCCATATTAAAAACCACTGAATCAATGCTTTCCTATGGGGGCTACTGCATCATGTCAATGCCTCTAGTGGCCGTCAGTATAACAGTCACTAGAGATGGACTTAACCCTGATATGTTCTACATGACAGACCCACTGCAGACACGCCGTGGCTGCTCACTGTAAAAAAAAAACAAAAAAACTATTGGCCCCCACCCAAAAATAAAATAAGGGGGGAGACCTAATTACCTACTGCCCCCCCCCGCCCCCACCCCTGGGCGGCGGGTGGGGGCAATAATGAGGGGGGGAACCTACTGTCCCCCCCCGACCCCACCCCTGGGCGGCGGGTGAGGGCCATAAGGAGAATGGGGGGGGACCTACTGCCCCCCCCCCGGCCCCCACCCCTGGGCGGCGGGGGGGGGCCATAGTGAGCCAGGGGGGACCTACCTTGCCCCCCTCCGACCCCACCCTGGGCGGTGGGGCCATGAAGATAATGAGGGGGACTACTGTCCTCCCCATTGTACCCTGGTGGGGCCATAATGAAAATGGAGGACCTACTGCTGACCCTACCCTAGGCGTGTGGGGGCCATGAAGATAATGAGGGGGGACCCACTGTCCTCCCCGGCCACCCTGGGCGGGTGGGGCCATGTGAGAATGGGGGACCTACCTTTTATTACCCTGGGGTGGAATTCAGTGGCTTCCCCACCCAAGGTGACTAGGGGTCCCCAAGCCCCTAGTGCCCACTACCAAAAAAGTCCCTACCTACCCCCCTCACCCTAAAAAATAGTGAGGGGGGGGATAAAATAACTAACCTGTAAAATAAAATTAAACTCCCACGCTGTGTAAAATGACACAGAGCACTGTGATTGGATGGCTTGAAATCCATCCAATCACAGTGCTATTTGTCATTTTACACAGCGTGGGAAAGTTCTTTTGAATTTTCCCACGCTGTGTAAAATGACAAAGAACACTCTGATTGGCTTAAACCCACCAATCAGAGTGTTCTTAGCCTAATTGCAGGGCGGGGCAAGGCTTTATAAGCCTTCCTCCGCCCTGCGGAGCTCAGTCTGCGCGGAGCCCTCCATGGGTGAAGATGGATTATATTTTTGCGCTCTGGTTTTTTTTTTTTCGTCGGGTTTTTTTTTTGCGCTCGGGATTTTTATTTTATTTTCAATTCGACGGTTATGATGGGTTTTTTATTTGGCCTTTTTTGGGGCTGAAAAAAGAAGATTTGAGAAAAAAGAAGACGTCGAATGGTAAGTTTAATTTTATTTTACAGGTTAGTTATTTTATCCCCCCTCACTATTTTTTAGGGTGAGGGGGGTAGGTAGGGACTTTTTTTTTTGGGTGGGGGGTGGGTGACTAGGGGCTTGGGGACCCCTAGTCACCTTGGGGGGGTAATTGACTTAGGGCCCCCACCCGCCGCCCAGGGGTGGGGGCCGGGGGGGGCAGTAGGTCCCCCCCCCATTCTCATTATGGCCCCCACCCGCCGCCCAGGGGTGGGGGCCGGGGGGGGGGCAGTAGGTCCCCCCATTCTCATTATGGCCCCCACCCGCCGCCCAGGGAATTGAGGCGGGGGTGTGGAGTCCCCCCATTTTCGTGCAGGCCCCCACCGCCCTTGGGGTGGGAGGCGGAAGGGGGCAGTGAGTCCCCCTCATTCTCACTATGGCCCCACCCGCTGGCCCAGGGATGGGGGCGGAGAAGAGTACTGCCCCTCCTCATTCTCACCTTATGGCGGGGGCAGTAGGTCTCCCCCTCATTATCTTCATGGCCCCATCCGCCGCCCAGGGGTGGGGGCGAGAGGTCCCCCCCCTCATTATCTTCATGGCCCCCACCCGCCGCCCAGGGGTGGGGGAGTCTCTCCCCATTCTCACTGTTTGGGGTGGGGGCCAATAGTGTTGTTTTTTACAGTGAGCAGCCACAGGCTGCTCACTGTTAATAGTTTATGCCTGGGTAGCTAGCTTGATAGGGGCATTGAGACACAATCTCCTTGTTCTATGGGGGTCATATTGACCCCAGCAAGTGAGGGGACCTGGGGCTTATGAAGTGGTGGGGAGCACTGCTCCCTGCCGCTTCTATAGTTACATATTACAAGGAGGGAGCTGCGTGCCGGTAGCTCCCTCCTTGTAATAAACTGAGCGAACAAACTAACACTGATACATTGTGTTTGTTTGTTCGGCTGATCTTTCTATTCACTCATTCGTCTGTCTGATGAATGAATGAATAGATGAAATTCCCGTTCGCATGTCCAGGTGTTTCACTGGGCATGTGCGGGAATCTCACAGTCTGCCTAGTGTGGGCTGATGACATGTCCCTGAGGGACTTCATCTACCCACACAAAGATGGCTGCGCCCTGAATCAAGATCGGGGCAGAAAATAAGGATTTAAAAATAGGTAATGTGGGGGGCTTAGGGGCATTTGGGGGTGACTAGTGGGTCAATTGGATGTAGTGGAGGCGGGAGAGGGGTTAAAAAAAAAACAGAATTCGGCATGACAGTGCCGCTTTAAGTTGAAAGAGTAAGATATAGTTTGAGAAGTGACAGTTACCCTAGGGGGCCATAGACTATTCTGAAGAGTTGGGTTTCAAGGAACTGACACAAAGTATATAAATTCCAAACGTGTAGGCAGTAAATCAGGTGATAAATCAACCAGACATTCTATAGCGTGTAGATTCTTTAAATTATAGGGCAGCACACCCTATGTGCTACAAATCAGCATGATGCAATTATGTGTCAAGCAAAACATGGTGGATATTGCAACTGTAAGTGCGCAAAACATGGACTAAACAAGTTCCTCCCCTGGGAGACATGCAAGTAACTGCACATTCAGCCAAGTTCAATAAACAATAACTTGTGTATACACAGGCAGCCGCAGCATGGCTGCTATCAATTTATACACAAGTTTAATTTATTCAGATTTCACATCTCTCTGCTGGACAGGAGTTTTTAGGATATGGATAGACTCCATAAACCAGAATTTCAGGCTTTACCATTAGACAAAATAGTATTGACTTTATACGTCCAAACATTAGGAGTTATGCAATCGGATAGGGTCCTGAAGGAGGTGTCACCAGTGGTGCCACTCACATCCCCAGCAGAACCCATAATGGGCAGTTCCACCAGGAAAAAGGTGTGCCAGCCTATCTGCCCCGGCCACTTACCGACAGGACCCTCCAAGGAGTGTTCTCTGCAAGTTCAGCGCACGCATGCCAAATGATTTACTTGCACTCTTTTGCCTAGGGATAGTGACACCAGGAAACTAAAACATAACCGGAACCCAAAATCAAGTCCATACTGCCAAATCAGAACTGTTGGAAGGCATATCTACTTTCTCCTATTTCTTTTGCTAGCGCTATAAATTAGAGTATTTTATAAAAATTCTCCTCTACGAAATACTCAAAATGTCTAGTCTGGTCTTATTTTTCCATTTTAGATTTCCATTAGGTACAAAATAGCCTGTACAATGAAGCAGTTAAAAAAAAAAAAAAAAGTCCTATTGCCCATTACTAACCTAATGCTTTATAATAATTTATTTAAAAAAATAAAGTATTTAGCATTAATTGTATATTAGTCATACAATATAAAGCTGTAGTTTCAGCCTTTTGGCACATGTGGATAAACTTTCCTAGCTGGCTGAGCATTGAAGGAGAGGTAGTGTACTTGGAGTGCCAGCAGTGTCCCCCACTACAGTGTCAGTAGGGCATGACGTTCCATATAGAACATACTAGATATAAGCAGAGAATGTTACAATAACAATGTTATGCACATCCTCCCCATCAGCAACGTCACGCCCTCTAACAGTCTAGACGCTGACTTCTGATTGGTCCGAATTACTCTGTTTCACACTAGTCCCGCCTATGTCTCCTTTACGGGTCACGGATTGGCTCACATCGCTGTCTCTCTGAACAACGCCCCGCCCATTCCATGTCGCCCTCTTTGAGGCCGAACGGAGAATCATCTCCCAGCCTTAGCCAGCGGAAATACCGCCCGGCGTTAATAAGCGGGGAAAACGAACCGCGCCCATCCCCCGCCCGACTCACCGTGCAAGACGGGCTCCTCCCCGTTGTTATTGTTCTCAGACATGGCTGCGAAGCTTCAGTCTGTTAGGGTTGACGGACCCGCACTGCGTAGCCACGCCCGGCTGACGTCACCTCGACTCATCACCTGAGGGCCGGAGGCGGGCAGACTCGGAGTCACGTGATACATCCCGCCTTTATCGGCCGCTGTTTGTTTACAGTGTGAGCAATGAGACCATTATATGACTAGCTCACATGGTCAGTCAGGGCTGTCACCGCCCATACAGCTATAGACAGACACAGTGTCTCAGACACTAACACACAGATATAACACTGCAGTGTTTACATTGCTGCCTAGTAACACCTGTAGCGAGTCACTCAGACAGCCACTAGAGGTGCTTCATGCGTTCAGCATCTTCAAGCTTTGCATGGAGACATTAAACATTAGGGATCCACCGATACTGATTTTTTAGAGCCAATACCGATAATCTGTGAACGTTCAGGCCGTTACCTTGCCAATAACGATATTCTGTACATTTACCATGGGGCCTTGACAGAGGGGAAGCTATAGTGCCAGAAAAACGAGTTTGCTTTCTTGGCACTATAGTTTACCTTTAATTTGTACTATGTGCTGCCAGTGCCAAGTTAACCCATTGGCCATTATGCAACAAAACGTGTCTCTCCTCTGCTTTGTATGTCCACTCCTCATTTTACTTTATATTTCTCCCAGCAGCAGCATATATCCAGTACCAAGGGCTTTATTATCATTGTATAGTGGCAAATATATCACCCAGGGCTTTAATATCATTGTATAGTGGCCAATATATTACCCAGGGCTTTATTATTATTTGTATAGTGGCCAATATATCACCCAGGGCTATATTATCATTTGTATAGTGCCAATATATATTAATTATCATTTGTATAATGCTAGTATACTACCCAGTGCTTTATTATCATTTTATATTGCCAATATACTACCAAGGGCTTTATTATTTATAATATAGTGTCAATACATACCCAGGGCTTTATAATCATTTGTATAGTGCCATATCCACCCCCTCCCTCTGACCCTCACTGACTGAGTAAGTATATTTATTGGAGTAAAGAAAATTACCTTTTACAGACCAGAAGGATAATATTGGCCAACCAACTGGCACACAAACGGGAGAGCAGACTAGACACTAGGTAGAAAGAAGGCAGCCAGACAGCACTACTTCAGGCCCGGGTCTTCAGCTCTTTTCTAAAAGTCTTGCGATTCGCGCGCCTGTTTTTTCCGCGCGAAGCGTTGCTGCAGTAACCAGCGGGAACACTTTGACGGCCAGGGCCTTGTGAATCGTGAGATTTGGAAAGAGGACAGATTGGGTGCACGCTGGACCACCTCATTATCGGCAAGATTATGGGCCGATAACAATAATTACAAAAACCCGTAATATCGGCCGTCAATCCGCACTGAACATTCCTCATTAGATCAATGCATTTCTATGAGAAGATGCCAATAGGTGCAGCGTGGCATTCTGCTGCACATGAGCAATAGCCTCCGAACTTGATTGTCTGAGATCATCAAGTTTAATGATTTCAGTCAAGTAAGCAGAGCAAATAAACCCGTGCCAAGGGGACTGCTGGAAATCTAAACAGCAGTTTCCAAAATATAGTATCGGGAATGCACGTTTGTTTTCTTGACACTATAGTATTCCTTTAAGATTTTCGAAAGCAGCTATAGTCCCAGCTTAACTTTTTTTAGACTAATGTTGCTATTAGGATAGTACTATTTTGTGTTTAGTGAATAACCCTGTATATATGTTTTGGGCCACCCTCCTATTTGTCAACTTTTTTTTTTTTTGTCGAGTTCCTGAGTGTCTTGTGTGAAGTAGAGGAAATTAGTTGACATCTCTGCTTGAACTCCCAAACAGCATCCTTGTAATGTTGGCTGAAAGTAATATTGCATAATATTCTTCTGGAATTAGCACAATGTTGAGCTTAGCTTCTTATTCAGGTTGGCTTGTTGTTTATCGAGCTTCATTTTCATAAAAGTGATTATTTACTAAACAAACTTAAAAAAACATTTAATCTAGCTTGATCATAAAATTTGACACCAAACTGGACATCCTTACATCCATAGGAAATTCTGAAAAATATGACTATTAAACTATTAAAACCATAATGGGTCACCAAAATTTTACTTGTTTTATACTAACTGGGCATCCATCTGTAGGAAAAAGTTATATTGGATCCAAGCCATATTTTATTGATTGCGATATCTGGCACCAAAACTGGCAACCTAACTTTCCTACATTTCAGTGGGAAAGTCTGTCTAAGTAACTGAGCCCTTTCTTTATGAAAATCATTGTGGCTCAATAAAATATGGTTTGTTTTTTACTAACTGAACATCCTTCTAAAGAAAAGAAAAAAAATCACACTGGCCTGAGCCAAATTATATTGATTATAAAACATGGCGCCAAACTAGACATGAATAGCCGTGCATTTAAATGTCAAATTTTGTACAGTTAACGCAAGAAAAACAACCAATCAGAACAAATAGTAAGACAAATAAAACCCTCAACTAGATTCTGCCACTCTCTCTTTCTTTGCTGCTGCCTCCAGGTGATCAACCTCTGTATTAGAGTTCTCCTAGTGATTGTACTGCTTATCTTAGCTTTACATGCTTTATTAATACTGTTTTATTATTGTTAATGGGTTCCATATCCCCCTGATCCATGTGTCTCCTCCTTTAGGGGCAATGCCATTGTTTATTTTTATTGTCTCCGTTCCCGGTTGCTCTAGCTGCCGCTGGGGAGGGGAACCGGCTGTCTCCACTCCCGGTTGCTCCAGCTGCCCTGGCAAGGGAGATCGGCTGTCTCCACTACCGGTTGCTCCAGCTGCTGCTAGGGAGAGGAAATACCATCTCCACTTCCAGTTGCTGCCGCTGGGAAGGGATACTGACTGTCTCCACTCCCGGTTTCTTCTTCTACTGCTGGGGAGGGAGACAGACTGTTTCCACTCCTGGTTGCTTCAGCTGCTGCTGGGAAGAGAAATCAGCTGTCTCCACTCCCAGTTGCTCCAGCTGTTGCTGGGGAGGGAGATTGGCTGTCTCCACTCCCAGTATCTCCACCTACCGCTGGGGAAGGGGACTGTGACTGTCTTCACTCCCGGTTGCTCCAGCTTCTTCTGGGGAAGGAGACCAGCTGTCTCCACAACCGGCTGCTCACTCTGCCGCTGTGGAGGTGGACTGACTGTCTCCACTCTAAGTAACTCCAGCTGCTGCTGGGGAGGGGGACTGTGATTGTCTTCACTCTTGGTTGCTCCAGCTTCGGCTGGGGAAGGAGACCAGCTAGCTCCACTCCAGGCTGCTCACTATGCCTCTGGGGAGGTGGACTGACTGTCTCCACTCTAAGTAATTCAGCTGCTGCTGGGGAGGGGGACCGACTGTCTTCACTCCCAATAACTCTAGCTGCTGCTGTGGAGGGTAATTGTCTGTCTTCACTCCCGGTTGCTCCGCCTGCTGCTGGAGGAGACCAACCGTCTCCGCTCCTGTTAGCTCTGGCTGCCGCTAGGGAGGGAGAACGATACTCTCCTCTCTCTGCATAACATACTGCTGCTGGGGAGAGAGACTGACCATCTCTACTCCCAGTTCCACCAACTGCCTCAGGGGATGGAGGATGATACTCTCCTCTCCCTGCATAACATACTGCCGCTGGGGACCAAACATCTGCTCTCCCTGTAACTCACACTGCCGCTGGGGAGGGAGACCAACTGTTTCCACTCCCAGTTCCATCAACTGTCTCTGGGGATGGAGGACAATACTCTCCTCTCTCTGGTGAACCAACTGCCACTGGGCTAGGCTACCTATACCTCCTCTTATTGGGTTTCCACCCGCTGCTGGTGAGCTAGTGAGGTGACCAGGACTCCGCATGACAGGGGGTTGAGGATCTGGGCTGGCTGCTCAGCATTCCTGTGATTCAGGTGTGGGGAATATGGTTCTCTCCACATCCATCTGGCCAACATCCTCAGATGTAAAGTCTGTTAAATCCCCAGTCTCTGGGAGCTATTGCTGTACAGAGTCAAATAAAAGCTTGTAATCCAGTTCAAGATACCACTCCATGGTGGGCAGATGGGTCAAATCAGGTTTCAGGTCAGTTGCTTCTGAGAGATCCAGTATGTGTTCCCTATTTTCCCAAATGCTACAGAGCCGGAACTTCTCAGGATTTGCAAATTCGATTTTATCATCAAAGGCCTCCCACAATAGGCCAGGGCCATCATAGCCCTCATCCTCTGGAGGGTCATCATCCTCTAGAAATGGGTACTGGTGGACCGAATACAATCTTAAGCCCAGGTAAGAATCATCCAGCCACAATTATTTCTATGCCAGCTCCTCGAATTGGAAAACCCATTCCGCCAGGGGCTGCTCTCCCAAGAACAACATCTGCAAATCAACTTAATCACAAACTCGCTGCATAATGATTGGGAGGGTTCTACCCGGACACCACAAAGCTTCTCAAGGCCATTTTTCCAGAGTTCCCATCATGTTCCATCGTCCAGTTCGCCCTTTGCCACAAAAGGGCCATCGTACTGAGACAGAGCTGCCTGTAGTTTCAGCTGGATGGGGATGTTGCATGGGTGCTAGCTCTATCCATCTCCGCTAATTCTAGAAGGCACAGTAGAATCCCTGAAGATGCGCCGGTGTCCAGGAATGTTTCCCCAGTTACTAGGAAGCCATCCCACATCTGCCACCAAATGTAACGGAGCTTCTGTACGCCGACCTAGTACCTCTGCCCAATTCGCTTCCTAGCTGTTGGGGAGGGAGCCTGGAAAGCTTTATCCCCAGTCAGCGAAGCTTGACTGGAGTCTCTCCACTACTCTTCCACCTGACCAGACTCTTCTCTCAGGCAGGTATCGTCTCCTCTGCCTATTCCTCAGCATATTTCCTTCCAGGCAGGCATTGTCCCCTCTGCCTATTCCATTGCAGCCCTTCTTCCAGGCCGGTATCGTCCCCTCTGCCTATTCCGCTGCTGCCCTTCTTCCAGGCAGGTTCCACCTCTGCCTGCAAAGTGATTTGTATTGCCTTTACAAAGGCACTTGCGGCTCTCAGGCCTAGCTCTCTTGATTTATCGCAGGGCCAGAGAGATCATGCAGCCAGCCAACAGATCAGAAGAC